GGAAATTTTAAGACTTCGGTGATAAAGTTTAGAGGGAGGCAGAAAAGACGAGCCTTATACCTTAACCAGACGAGCAGCGCTGCCAAGGTCGCGCTGCTGGGCGGCGTTGATCGGAATGCGTTGTATAGAAAGACCTACAACGTGCAAAGCAATGCAGTGCGTAGCTGCAGGGCCGGATCTACCATATGGCTTATTGGGCTTCAGCCCAGGGCCCCGTGGATTCAAGGGGCCCCCAGCTAAGTCAAGTTTAGTCAAAAATAGACGATCATGCGAAAGAATCCATAATTTTATTAAATCAAACAGATCGTATAGTTTGCAGCCCTGCAAATCCTGCGATTAATTAAACCCATTCAATTCGTTATATTCAAGTCTACTTTCAGGTGTTGGTACTTCGAACTGGCAGTTAAAATCTTCCGCTGCCATTACACATTCATCTCAATCGTGCTCCGCTGTTTCCCTCCCAGACTCTGTCTCTTTCTATCTTGCTAGAATTATTTATAAGTACCATTATTTATCACTTTTAATTATTTATAACTAGTAGAATAGAAAGAAATTTGTTTTGGAGGAACGTAGCGAATCGTGATACTACTACAGGTTGGCAACCCTGAACTCCCTGTATGCATTTTTATCAAACGAAAGCGCCCGTACGGTTATATACGGTTATTATCGCAATGATGTGGATGAATATTTAGTCAAAGAATGAGAATGCATCCAATGGAAAAGTATACGCAAAGCTCGACATAAATGGCGTTGCAAACGCTTGACCCAACCCACAGTCAAATATTGACGCTGGTGTCGATTCTAGCATGATTCTCTAAATCTAAACTTAAATTTGACAGCAGTATATCCTTGTCACTCTCTATACAGAATGAAAAGGAGAGACTGATGTCAAATTTAGTTTTAAGTTTAGAGAATCACGCCAGAATTGGCACCGCTGTCAAATTTTAAACGTGTTTTTGTTTTTTTGTTGTTAAAAAGATTAAATAAGTGGTGAAAACATATTCAACATGGTCTGTAATACAGCTGAAAACAGAGTTGAAAAGGAGAGGAGCATCTGTGCAAGGCAGAAAAGTTGATCTAGTAGGAAGGTACTCTTTCTATTATTATGCTAGAATGCTCATTCTCGGTACATAGATGCATTTTCCATGATTAATTAAATAGTTCATGGATCTGAGTAACTTTTAGCGGGCTCATTAGTCAAATCTATCTTATTTTTGCATCAGTTAGACATCTCATAGAGTTAAGTTACCTCTGGCTAAAATGGGAGGGACCATCATTTTAATTTTGGTGCAGTTTTTTCTGAACAAAATGAAGACATCCAGATGCAATTACTCCAGATTAATAGACATTTTTACGATTATTTATGAAAAGAAGCTTGTTGACTTATTCCCGAACTGCTATACAATGTTAAAAACATATTTAACCTTGCCAATCACAATCAACTTTTCCAGGATGTCATATTAATTTTGGTCTACGTTTTGTAATATGGCGTAAAGAGCCTTTAGCGCAGGCAGCGCCATCTCTTCACACTTAGGTAAACTACAGCTGGTCCAGCATGATTTATGCAATCATGTCATATTCGCTGAGTGGATTATTTATCTTATAATAAACTTACAAATGTCAGCGCAACTGAACAATTATTGAAAACATCGGTGCAAAGTGCTTCAGGCACACATTCTAATGTAACAATACAGAATACCAAATAAAATTGAATTCAATGGCTGCATGGATTTGCCTTTGCTTTGACGAATAAAGAATGTTAGAAAAGGATTCTTTGTCTATGGCCTAAATTTTATGCCGGCACTTCACATGGCTCTTTGTATTTACTATTTCTGACATTAGGCTGTCCTTGTCATGCTCCACAAAGAATGAAAAAGACAGATTGATATCATGGTGATTTTCCAATTACAGAGTATAATGCGACTCAGTGGCGCACAATGCCGAATTATGCTGATGCTTAATTGGAACGTGAATTAGTTTTCAAATGCACCAGCAAAGTGCGCTAAGTTCAGTGTTGAAAAAAAAGTCAATATTTGTACCTTCATCCATATTTATATTTATTTTTATTTTTTAACACAGTTTGTATTAACTATGATTATTTAAAAAAAACTATAATGAAACGAAAGTTTTAATAATATTTCAACAAAAAATAATATTACTAACGATAACATATAAATAAAACATTTCGATCAATGCCAACTTAAAGAAAAAACACTTGTTAATTTTCTGTCTCTGAGTTGGTACGATTGCACGCATCACACGAAAGTAGGGACACGATATCGAATAGAAAGTATCGATACTGAACTCATGAGTAGTATCGGAAAAAAGTATCGTACTCGTAAAAGTATTGAAACAAAAGTATCGATACTTCGAAGTATCGAGTACATTTCATAGTGCCTGATCGGCTCCTCTGTGGCTTGATGAGCAACTATTTGAAAAAAAAGCAATCAAATTTAACAGACCACCATTATTAATATCATAAACTCAAAAGTTTGTATGGATGTGGATGTTTGTTACTACCATCTTCACGCTTATACTACTAAATGGATTTTAATGAAACTTTACTATAATATAGCTCATACATCAGAATAACATAGCCTATAACTTAAATAAGTCGCGAGCAGAAGCTAGTATTCAAATACTGTTAAGTTTTTTTTACTATTATATGTACCAGATTATCGAACCACGCTCGTAGAATTTGTAAGTGTAGGTATATAACAAGATCACGTCAAATTTTCACTTAAGTACTTAGGTTTACAATACAAAGTACAATAATAATTAAAACATACCTCGTCGCATTAGGGTGTTTCTTTACATGTTTATTCATGTTTGACGTATTCCCTGACGATTTTATGGTTTTGAAACAAATTTTGCATTTTACATCGTTGTTGTTAATCTTGACAAAATATTGCCATAGTTCAGTCTTACTACGCGGCATTTCTTTAATAAATATGTTTCAAATAGGTATACACAGCACAGACAGAATAATAGTGTTACAATTAAATAAATCAAATACGGTCAAGTGAAAAGCACAAACAACAATCAATCATAGTTCGTATTATAGTGGTCGCTAAATAAATATATATGAAACAACAAAGCGCAAAATAAACACAATCACAGATTGAAAAGAATTTGAATGTGTCAGTTACTTACTGTCCTAATTCTACGGCGCCATCTATTCGTCTCAGGACACACTAGATTGCTTGTGTTTAGAGGTGTTCAAAGCCGCTATAAAGCAATAGCGTGCTGCAAACTATATACGCGCTATTTTAATAGCGCGCTATTTACTTGGAAGCTTGTGGCGGTCCGTTGGCGCGTTGCAGCACGCTAGATCTCGTTGTACTTTATTATATACAGCATCGTAATCTCGCAGGGTCCCGGATTTGATCCCCGGTCGGGACAACTTATAAAATTATATGTTTTTATTTTCTTTTATTTATTTTCGCACGTCTAGCTGATTGTTGTAACGTCATTTTTTCTGATTTCCTTAATACAAAAGCTTTAGCTAACTAATTTTGAATATCAACTATGTATGTGATGTTCTGCAATATTTATTTATTTAGATATCGTCTTTTATATCTGTGGTTGTTATTAGTTTATTTCTTGGTCATTATCGTTAGATAGCTTCTATCTAATCTTCGTAAAATATGTAAATATTTTGACGTGACAACGTCTTAAATTAGGTTGCGGCTGGGAGTCACTTATGAAAAAGTGTAACGCTCGGTAACGTTACGATGAGTTTAAGTTTACATGTACAATGTTTTAGTAAACAAAATATATTTCTATAGTTAAAATTTGTGCAATTCTTATTTTCATTCAATTCCTTGTTCCTATTGTGCAATTTAATTATATTCATATCAATAAATATTCTACCGAGAAAAAGACGTTGTCACGTAAAATCTTCGCCCGTAAAACCGACTTTACAGGCAACCATTTTTTTTAAACGTTTTAATGCTGGCATCTATAGAGAAATTAAGCTTTTTTCTGTACGATTACGGCAGTGCTTTTGTAGCATTTGTGCTTTTAAATTATCTGACCTTTAGGATAGTTTGCTTAAAATTCTTTAGATGGAGTGTGCAATCGCAAGTACATTTATGAAACTTTGTTGTCTATGTAATAAAGTTTATTTTTGTTAGAGAAAAATATAACTTAAATAGTATATAAATGTATCATTGAAAGTGATTAGTATATGAATGTCTGTAAACAACACGCATATTTTCATTTGAATATAAATTGTATGTCAACATGGAGCCCTGTTGACAGGCAGACAAAATTTTTATTAAGTTTGAAGGTTGGTATGCGAAATAATATAAATGATATAATATAATTGCAATATTGTTTTCTATATACTAATATTTACACTATTTTAACTATATATATAAAAAAGTCACAAACACAAAATTTTATTAAGAAATAATGTTATTATATTAGAAAACACTGAAATCGTCCGCGATAGTAAATATTTTTCTGCTGCGACACTGCGAAATTAAACGTTAACCCTACGTTGCTAACAACGCACATGCGATCACGGGCAGGCCTGCCCGGTAGCATCGCGTCTAGCGCCACCCGCTGCCGCGCGGTCACTCAACTCAACATAGCACCATAACGCATAGCGTCTTGTAGCTTTCTTAAATAGCATGCGATACGCGCTATGTACATTTAGCGTGCTATAATATGGCGCTAGATGCTATATTAACCACCTCTACTTGTGTTTTCAATTATATCAACGCAATGGAATGTTTTAGAAGGCTTGCTTTGATTCAACTAGATGGCTTAGCCATCAATATGAGGCGTTTATTCAAATTTTTAAAGACATCGATACTTGCCAAAATGTACTTATTTAGAAAAGCATTACTTTTGAGAGTGCTCGATTGTGCGAAGCGTTGCTGTAGTTGAAACACTCAACGTTAAGCATTATGCCGCATAATGCGCTATAATGCTGTAATTGGAAAGCTACCCATGTATACAAAAAGTAAACACAAATTGCCAAGTGAAGTGCCTGCATTTAAAATAAAAATGGCAGTTGTTTGTCATTGAAAAAAAACGTGTGTTGTTTTAGCATTCTGTTTTCTTTTATTGATTAATTTCGAAACATCAAAACATTTACGTTTAATTTTTATTGTATTGACAATGTCACGCGATCCCCGTAAGTCCTTTTATAACCGCGATCGCGCGCCAATCTGGGGTCGTTCAGATTACCGAAGCCGGGATCGTCCCTTGCCGCCGCGCAAAAGGACTAGAAGCAGAAGCCCGCCGATGGGCGACAAACATCGCAGTGGTTCGCCGCGCAAAAATGATAAAGATTTGTTAGACGAGAATATTTTAAGAGAAATCTCGAAGCTGCCGGAGCCAAGCGAGCTGTGGGAAAACAATCAATTTCAAGAGAACCCCAATTTCGGTAGCGTTCCATTGCCACCCACTTTTCAGACTGAGGTATCCACACTGTCCACTGTATCACGCTAGTGTAAAATGTTATCATTAGATATATTTGCCATTAGGCCGTATACAGAAAGAAAGCCGAAAGCCGATCGGCGCCTATTGGCGCTGATCCTTTTTCTATGGACCGGCGCCGATCGGCGCTGATCCGAATAATAAATAATTTGTATTTGAATTATTATCCTTAGATTAAATCAATCTAAGATATAATCTTTTTATAAATCTAATAACTTTATCTTTTATTAACTAAGCGCTAAAATTATTTGTTTCGTACTTACCGAATGGTGACAACAAGTCTTTCAGAAATCAGATATCAGAAATCAATATATCTTTATTCAAATTGGACGTATAGTACAACTCTTTTGAATCGTCCAAAAATTTTTTTTCCCTACCACTCGTTATGGACATATTTTTTAGCTGCGGAGAAAAACGAGCGAAAAACACTCCACAACATTAAAAGTCTAATTTAACAACATTTACAAATCATTATGTTGTTACAACGTCAATACAATTATGATTTATTTAATATAGAAAACCTGTTGGAATGATTGGAACAGTTCAAACCCAAGCATTTTTGTCTGTAATATAAGCAGACACTTTGTAATAACCTTTTTTAATAAGTGTTTTTTTTTATAATATCTTTAAATTTATTTATGGCTAACTCTTGAATATTGCTTGGGACTTTATTGTATAAGCGAACAACATTTTGGCGAACAACTTTCTTCTGGAAGGATTGGTTGTTTATGCCAATTGTACCAATTTTTCATCAAACGGCTTTTCACTAAATCCAAAATGTAATAAAATGTTTCTTGAATCATTCTTGTATATGTATAAAATCTTTGTTCATCAAATTTAATTTTTTTTACAAATAAATGATGGTATTCTCCGAAACGTTTCCTTTCTCTATTTATAGGATGTATAGCTGTTTTTCGCATTTTTAAATAAACATTTTCTAACAAAACCAAATCATCGTCCGATGAGTCCGACATTTTGCTTGATCTGCTTTAATAGGCTTCCTTTATGTAGGAATAATCGGCGCCGATAAGCGCCGATCGGCTTTCGACTTTCTTTCTGTATACGGCCTTAGAGCCACAGTTTCGTATAATACCTAGTTCTTAAAAAACATTAAGCTTTCTCATGAAGGAAGTGAAACAAAGTAACTTAGAATTACTTCATTTATAGATTCACAGGGAATAAAAATACTGTCTATTGCAATGGTATAATAAAACTATCAATGTGTATGGAAGTCAACTGCATAATTTATTACAAAATTCATTACATAGTATATCATTACCTGACAAATGACTTAGAAAATATAATTTCTAAACATTACATTATTCTAAGTTAATCACCACCTTTGGCATACTCCTTGATACCGGAACTATAAATTTGTCATATTTTGCAGGCTGTGTCAAACCCAAATTTTCAAGGCAGCTATCAGCCTTCGTACTCTGGCATCTATGACGACTTTCCTCCACCAGCACCTCAACCCACAATGCCTCAAGAAATCACTCAGTGGAATCAAATGTCGTTGCCCCCACCTCCTGGGCCATCACCATTCATTAACAATGTGGAAGATCAAATTAAAAAAGAAGGTAAGTGAAATATGGGAAGCTATTGGTTTCAAACCTTTTTGATGATAATTTAACAATTTTGAGTGTTCACACAGAAGAACGAAACAACTTCAAATGAGGTAATGATAAAATCTCTGCATGAACCTATTGTTTAATAGGGCTTTTCAATTATAAAAATTGCTGTGGTTTGGCTGCCTTTGTAATAATTCATAAAGTTTCTGAAAGTGTAATTGTTTAATGTCTAACAGTAATATTTTTCAATTTCATTACATAGTTATGTAATTTTTTTCTATATAAGGTCATAAACTCTTATTAGAAACTAACCCAACATGATGTTGAAAACAATAAAATTGACTATTGGTATTAATTAATGTATTATTAAAATTGCAATGTTTCAGAAAGTTATTATTATTAATACCCAACAAAACAATTGTATCAAAATGTTGTTTCCCTTTTATTCAGGTGATTCTGTACTCATACTGTTTACTTATTTTTATTTACTTTTGCTAATTATTGAACAAATAGAATAGAAATCATGCATTTTGTTGATTAGTAGAAGTGCCATTCATACTATGTATAATAGATAGGTTTATGACCTCTTTGTTTATAATTGTTCAGGAAAAAAATCTACTAATTTTCAATAATAATAATACTTAGTTCCTACAATTAACAAATACAACTCCACAATTACTAATACTTTTTTGGTTCAATTTTACTTTGAAATTTTTGATGGAAAAATTTGGCATTGTACTTGAATTTCCATGTATAACATAGTAATGGCTCTCCGATTCAGCCATAGAGTAAGTTTCTATTGCAGGTGCTTTCTAATAGAATTTTGCTTATTTGTGATGTGTTCAGTGTAACTGAAGTTTGTGATGGAGGGACGGTAGTCATATAATGACTAATGCTATATGTTAACATGATGACATCTTGATAAATATCTTAGTGAGCTTCACTGGCAGCTTGATTGACACCTTTGCTGTTGAATGTGTGCCTACATAAAGTATAAGTTAGGAACACTAGTGTAAGTTAAATTTGCATTAAATCTTTGTCTTTTATGTTTTGCCAACATTTGCTTAAATTTGTTTCTTTGTACAGCTGCTATAGAATCAGAGATGCGACATCAGAAAGCCGCACTATCAAAGCAGCGGGAAGACTACATCAAGAAAGCAGGCATATTGAAAAAGGAACTCGACACTTTGAAGGATCAACGCGACGAACTTCGTGGTGACGCAAAACGGTCTCCGAGCCCAGACACCAAGAGGTTTTTGAAGGAAAACACAAAGTTGCAGGTTTGATGATAAGACTATATAATAAAATGAATATAATTCAGCTCTGTCTTTTATATTGTATTATATATTGTTTGACAGCTCATTAAAACTAGTCGTTTTAGAGATGTTGTACAAACATTGCTTTGATTTTAGTGCTTTTTTACAAGAGTTTTGGTAACCTCACCCACATTGTTTAGTTGGAGATCCAGAACAAGCTGAAGACCATCAACAATGTGGTGGACATGCTTAATGGTATCATCGGGGAAGAAGCGCCCGCGGAGCTCACGCACGATTCCGACGACGACGACAAGAGCTCCAAACGGAAGTCCAGGTTCGTAGCATCGCTGTACCTTTATACGCACTCTTGTCAATGTTAAAGTTGCCTGACATAGAAAATATACAAAATTTCACTGAGGTATGTCCTTACCTCTCTTCTTTCACCTGCCTGTGACGTCAATTGCCACCAGCCGTATTATTATTTTTCTATTTTTGTTTCTTTATAACTTAGCAAGCTTTTCCCAAACATGTGTAACAATTTTTAATGAAATAATTGCTAACAATCTTAAAGTTTGACAGGATTTTTTTTATTATTTAAATATCTGGTGAGTATAACATTATATTGGTTTATTCTTTTATTATCCTTTGCCCAATTAAAACAGGATTGCACGAGCGCTTGGGCGTGAAGAGACGTAACATAAGCTTAGCTTAAAAGTGACATAATATAAAGTGGTGTAGCAGCGCTAAGATAATCCCAAGCTTCATCAAGACTGGTTCATTACTTTTACTGTAAAGAGCTTATTTTATTTTTAAGTCATAATTTTGAGCTTTCTGTCAATGTGTTATTATTAACTAATGATAAGAACAGCTTATTATGTGGACATTATTAAGAAAGGATTTCACTGTATTGTGTTTCATAGTTTTGCTGCACATATTGATACCTTTTATTGTTGCGTCATTGTTGTTAGACTTATTTATTATACTTGTATTTTAAGTAGTTGATTATAATTGTATCTGATTTGGTGGTTGGTAAGAGTTATGTAGACGAAGCAGGAGGAAAGAACACCCTTTTAAATAACAATACCTACCATTATGTTGTAGAAGATTATTATTACATGCATCTCTTTTAGAGATAAGCCCACCTTTGCTTACTATGTATTTTACTATATGTTTTAACTATATGATGCAATAAAGAGTATAATAATAATATTTCAATTGTAATTTATAATTGTTATTTGTTTCTTAGGTTTTCATGCACACCACTCATTAAATAAATCAAAGTTTCAATGGTATATATAACTGATTTATTTATTTATTGACGTTTTGCAATCAGTTTATCTATACAGTGAAAACTTGTTTTATTTATAATTGTTATTTAATAAATTACTTACTAAAAGGAATACATGGTGTTTTATTTTGACAATTGAATATATCATTTGTTACAATAAGTCTTGATTTATACAGAAATACCTCTGCATTTATTTGACCTAATAATTCCTACCTATCACTCAATTCCTTCCATTCTCTAAACTGCTTTTAAATCAAATTTTATGTTTTGTTTTAAGGTTTGAATCTGCGTGTGATCGAAGAAAAAGGTTATTTATCTAAAGAAAATATAACTAGAAAAAATTCCACGCGGACCAGGCAGCAGACGGGACTGGTCCGCGTGGAATTTTTTCTAGTTATATTTTCTTTAGATTTAAACATCAAGCAGTTACATGCTTTAAAAATAATAAAAATTATAAGGTTATTTATTTTAAAAATGTTCATTGTATATATATTTTATAAAGTTTGTTATGACCTTGATGCGATTACAATAGGGTTTATGATGGCAGGTCTCCGTCGGGCAAGAAGTTCAACTATGTGTACTACGACCCGGAGATGCACTGGTGCCGCGTGTGCAACGAGTTCCCATCCACTGCTAAGGATTACTTGAATCATCTGCACTCAGCCGCACATCACAAGTGAGTCAGTCATTTATTACGATTGTTTGAAATTTTCTGATGAGACTGTAAAATGTATTATTGTGTTACTCTAGTATTAGTCAGGCAGCGTTACCCCATAGAAACTTTCACATCCTATTTAAATAATAATAATAAATATTTCCAACACTCACATCAATTAGCCTAGCCCCAAAGAAAGTACTGTAAGGCTTGTGTTACGGGATACTAGGGTAACAGATAGAATACATAAAAACCCGGCGTACAAACCGCTTGATCACGGAGGTTGTCATTTCAGTGTCTTCAACTATTCTTTCTGGTCAAAAGTAGCCAATAGCGTATCGTAATGGTTTTATCACCAAAAAAAATTCTTATATCTACTAGATACAAGAAATCTTTTTGGTGATAAAACCGTTACGTCATGAAAACTTGCCTAACAAATAAAAAATTGCATTAAGACTAATATGTAAAAAGAAAATGTTACTTCTGTTCTAATTTACAAGGTTACTAAATTTCGTAGCTAACCAAGTGTGATTGCGCCATTATGCTATGTGTCCAACATAACATAATGGCACAATTACACTTGGTCGTTAGCCCGTATTATAGTGCTCGAAAGACATTACTCGATTTCGGGCACCTGAAGCAATAAATATACTGGAATACGGGCTGAAAGACAGTGTTGGGTAAACAAAAGGAAATCCACACGAGTACAGGCGTAGTCGGCTTCGTTCATTTACATTTAGTCGGTTACCCGGATTCCATTGGCACTAGTATTCGGGCTAACGACCAAGTGTAATCGCGTCATAAGTGTGACTCAGTTCAGAAACTTACTGGTGTCGACTCTGACATTTTTCTGATTCTCTAAACTTAAAACTACTACTACTTCAATCTCTCCTTTTCATTCTGTATAGAGAATGACAGGGATACACTGTTGTAAAATTAGGTTTGTGAAGCAAGTTTTCTCATGAGAGCGTTGACGCGTTCGGCAAAGTTCTCATTAATGTACATCGTGAAGGAAACTATTGCGTAGAATGGCGGCGGCGCACATGGAGGCGCCGTGGCACAGCATCACCGGCATCAACGAGGGCTTCCCCAGCTACCCCTCCGCGCCCACCAAGCGGACGCCCATCAAAGGTAACCATACCCCCCCCCCCCCCCCCCGGGGCTCCGGCACATAGAGGCGCCGTGGCACAGCATCACCGGCATCAACGAGGGCCAAGCGGACGCCCATCAAAGGTAACCATACCACCCCCTCCCCAGGGCTCCGGCACATGGAGGCGCCGTGGCACAGCATCACCGGTATCAACGAGGACTTCCCCAGCTACCCCTCCGCGCCCACCAAGCGGACGCCCATCAATGGTAACCATACCCCCCCCCCCCCCCCGGGGCTCCGGCACATAGAGGCGCCGTGGCACAGCATCACCGGCATCAACGAGGGCCAAGCGGACGCCCATCAAAGGTAACCATACCACCCCCTCCCCAGGGCTCCGGCACATGGAGGCGCCGTGGCACAGCATCACCGGTATCAACGAGGACTTCCCCAGCTACCCCTCCGCGCCCACCAAGCGGACGCCCATCAAAGGTAACCATACCACCCCCTCCCCAGGGCTCCGGCACATGGAGGCGCCGTGGCACAGCATCACCGGCATCAACGAGGGCCAAGCGGACGCTCATCAAAGGTATACCACACACACGCCATAATTCCGTTCATGATTTGGGCAGGATGTCTCATAAAAACCCTACGCAAATGATAGAATGAGCGAGCGACTGTTCTCAAAAAACGCGTGCACACAAACAAGCGGCGCTCTCCTGCGTACGGCATGAAAGCAATAAAAATTAAAGTTGAATGCTTGATTCATTTTGTTCCCGCGCTTTCTTTGCGTTCCAATTCCAACTCAAAATAGTTGGGTATTTATGAGATACCTTGTATTATATCATCCAAATATTAATCCTTTTACATATTTAACAATCACTAATATTCTACTTATATTTTGAGAAAAATCAAATAAAATAGTAAATAGCACTAATCATAATTCAAAATATGCTATTTATTCATATTTTGAAAACATTGGGCTCTTTAAACTCAATTTGGACACGATAGGGTCATTGGACCTTGACCCACTACGCCCGCCCAGTGCAAATTGGTGGGTTCAAGCAAATTCAGCAGGGTTCAAACTGAGCTCTCGAGATAGTAAATTTATGGTCACGCATCCTAAGGCAGACCATTGTGAAAGTTGCTTAACTTCCATGATCGCCCCGATCTACTACGCTATAAAACTCCTAAGAAATACATCGTATCCAAACCATAACCCGTTTGGTGTTCGCCAATTAAAGGAATACTCTCAACACACTCTAATTAATAATATTCTGTACTCTGCTCCGACTAAAGCTAAGCTATTTTATCATTGACCGGAGTGTATTGTAGGAAGGCCAAAGGGGAAGATCTTCCTCCAAGCTGGATGATGGTAGCTCGGAGTTGGTTGTGCATTGTATATATGGAGTGTTAGCCTATACGTTGTGATCGCAGCGCCGGTAGCGCCTTCTCTTGAGGAGACGAGTGACTATTTCCTCCATGTTGATTATGTGTGAGGCATGTGTAGATATCGCCGCCACAGTATTGTTGTCGATACTACGGCCAATGACAGCCCTAAGATATTGTAGCGTTGTGATCATGATATTAAGCGTATTAATGGTCGTGTAGGTTTGCAATTCTTCGTGCCATCTACGGCGTGGTACTGCAAACTGTGCGACCAGTTCATAGGAGACCTGCACTGCGCCTCCGCTCATCTCAAATCCGTCACGCATTCTAAAAACTATACTGTGAGTATTAAGTTCGGTATATTTTTATTCGGTGCATTGTATTGTTTGTCGCCAAGACTAATGGACTAATCGCCTGAAGAGATTGCTATTTCAATCGCTATCGCTTACGATTTCATATTATTATTTCTGACCATCGAAAGTTTTCAAATACCTCAAGCTCATTTTCTTTTATATTGTTATTACCAATGCAAAAGAAGAAACAAGAGAGTGAGGCATATGATGTCTTTACATTATGTTTAAAGTTTTTATGAAATCGTAAGCGATAGCAATATCCATAGCAATTCCGTTAGGCAATTAGCCCCTTGGATGATCTTGAAGATCTATCTAGATTCTTGAACCGTAAAAACAATTGTAATTGATATAATAATTTTTGTAATTTGCTTTTAAAATAACTTGAGACATATTGTTTTATTTTTCTGGAACACTTTAGATATAATGTGATACCAGACAAATAAAATACCTGGTCCTGGGATGTCCATATAGCTTTTAAGTTCGACACTGACCAAGTAGTATTGTCAATAACATCCATTTACTTACTGCAATATTTTGAGTTTTATTATTATGGTCATACTGTAGAATATTCTATCTCCTTTCCAACAGAACTTTGTTGAGCAAAACCCTCATTGGGAGACGGACTGGATGTCTGACCGCCAAAAAGCTTTCGAGAAATCTCGCGCCAGCAACAAGAACAAAGCACCCGAAGACAAACCCCAGTACACCGCTCACACTATCACCTTCCACAAAGACGGGTTCCATACAAAGAACACTGACGCCCCGGCTATGCCCGCGCCACCGGAGAAGAAGAAGAAAAAAGAGAAGCGGAAGAAGTCTAAAAGGAAGCGCAGCAGTAGCAGCAGCTCCTCCAGCGACTCTAGCAGCTCTGAAAGCGACGGTGAGAAGAAGAAGAAGAAAAAAAGTGAGTGTGCTTAATTCTTAAATCTCAAACTGATATTTAAGTAAACCATAATTTTAAGACTGTAGATAGCGTCAAACCTCTTTAGCAGAACCACAGATAAATAAATTTGCGTTTTAGACGTATTTATACATGTAATACTGTGCAGGCGTCCTGGTCTTTGGTTGTTGCTCAAGAAGTTTGCCAGGGTGTATACTATACAATTTGCATGAATACATTGCTCAGCTTGTGTACTATGAATGCTACACAACGATTATTACAAACCAATTTCAGAATCAAGTTTCGAACCTAAGACCTTCGTCGTAGTAGACAGGATGAGGCTGAAACTGCCATTACGTAAACCATTGGTCAATTAATTGAGACCATGTGTTTGCACTGCAGTGTAAGTACGAATTATGCAAAATCCGTAAATGTATCGTCTTCCTCTGAGCCTTTCTTTGTGACGTTTCTCAAAATACTGGTTATAAATTATCCCCTTGTCTGTGTAAATAGCCATTTTCTCCCAACGTCAAAAACTCCTGTCTGTGGAAGTGGCGAATTTCTGCCATGAGTTGAGAAAATTATTTTGATTCGTTTTATCATATTTAGTAATGGTTTTTAATTTTCACATTTAATATATAAATAAGTTTGTAGGGAAACTATTCAGGATTGATTTAAGACATAAATGAAGCCTGGGTATACAGTAGAACTCGAATAAAAAGAGAGAGTGAAACACAAAATAGAGCTCTATACAGACAGGGTTTTGAGAGCCATTTTGCTTACACATTTGTCGGGTTATAGGTGACTAGCTGTGCCCCGCGGTGTTACTTATTTTCCCGCAGTAAAACGTAGCCTATGTGTTAATCTTGTTAGGGTGTTAGCTAATTCTATACCAAATTTTATTGAAATCGCTCCAGCAGTTTAGACGTGAAGAAGTAACAAACATACACACTCATAAACTTTCGCCTTTAGAATATTAGTGTGATAAACTAATGTTTGTGACAGCAAATCAGGCAGACAGAAATTAAACATTTGCCTTGTCCCAATGTTTAGGTAAGAAAGAAAAGAAAAATGAAGCTAACGAGAAGACATTGACTGAGTGGATGACGGCCATACACATGGACCGGTTGAATGAGAATGACAGGAAGTTGCTAGACACTTTGAAAAGCAGGTATGTTCAACAGCTATTGGAATATTCAGAGGTCTAGGACATTTAAAAGCATTATTGCGTCAGTCCTTCCATTTTATATCTTTGAATATCAGTAATTTATTCAAACATAAAAAAATTATAAAACTGTGGAAGGAACATTATTATAAACCCATTAACGCCATCTGTACTTGCAGATGTACACTTAAAAATATAAATATTTGATTGTATTTTTCTGACATTTTTATGAAGATAATAATTCATTATTACGTTACTAGACGTTGTTAGCTGTCTAACATAATACAAAAATTGGATTTAGTATATACAAAAATAAATTATTTTATTTTAACTTCCAAATACGAAAAGTTAAGAAGCAAGTTTCAATAATGCATTTTTATTGCAAAAATAGTGTATCTTTCAAATGTTTTATGATCAATGCCTTTTTTTGGTTTGTATTTTCATAAAAATCATTATTATTGATGTATTTGATTACGATATATTTATTGTTATTGTTTGTTGTAGAATGAAAGCTGAAAAGCGTGATGCGGAAAAACGCAGGTCTCCAGATAGAGAAATGTCCCCAGAGTCAAGGAGGGCGCGGTGAGTAATGTCATTTATCATATACAAACACTTCACATAGTTATTCGTAACCTGCTGTCAAAATGACAAACAGCAAATACGAATAGCCAAGTGAAGTGCCTTAATCTTAAAAAAAAACTTAAAAACACAGAAAGAAACTTCTTTTAACCCGCAACACTTGTCATTATAAGATCGTAAGTTGCTATCAAACCAACGAATTAGAAATGATATGGAATACAAACTGCACTAAAAAGTGGTTGCACCCAAACTGCGATCAAGAGGGTGGGGGAAAAAAATGCGATCAACACGCCCCTCATGGGTTTGGTTGGGATTTCCGATTAACATTATCTTAACCGATAAATGGATATCAGTTATCTATATATATAATAAAATCAATTGCTGTTCGTTAGTCTCGCTAAGACTTGAGAACGGATTTATCTTATCTTGGTCTTGAAATGTTCGTGGAGGTCTAGGGAACGTTTAAAAGGTGAGGAAAATTCGAATTCTACACTACAGCTCTACACCGAAGCGAAGCGAGGGCGGGCCACTAGTGCTATAGGATTTGTCAAATCATTTTGTTTTGTCTGTATGCGTATGCGTGACGCGCTAGTATTGAAGTTTAATTGTATAAGTTTGGAACTATGTTTTATCGACGTTCGTTAGAAGAGTTATATTTCCATATATTTTTCAATTTGTTGTACCAAACATCACTTGCTAAAACGGGCGATTGCATTACGCAGGGAGATCGAACGCCGCGATTTGGAACGCGAACGCGAACGCCGCTCGCGAGAATCTCGGGCCCACGATATACGTGACCCTCGTGACTCGCGCGACCAACGTGACTCGCGTGAGCCGCGCCCTCCCCGTGACCCGCGTGACCCCCGTGACACGCGCGACCAGAGGCGATCGCGATCGCGACCTCGCAGTCCCGCTAATGATGCTAAAAAACCGGATATCAAGAAAATGCCTTTCATCGGTAAGAAGTATAGTACTTACACTTGGCTGAAAATCTATTGAACAGACTTGATATTTCTGTTAAGACTGAAGGATTGCTATGTATACCGGTCTATATAATTTTAAGTTACCTGAGAAACTACGCGCTAATTCAGAAAAGGATTTAGGTTATATTTCCGCAAAAAAAAACATATTTCTGCTTTTTTTTCGATAAATTTCTTCACCTTAACTCACTATTTATGTAATTTTGAATCCTTAACAATTTCAATTGTTATAAATTGATTCAAATTAATCTACTTTTACAATCTACATACTTTAAATGGGTTAAACGCTATTTACAAATTTGCAGCGTTATTAGTTTACAAAATATTCTAATTTTGTAAATGATATAAATCAATATTTTTGTATGGGGGTGTAATATGTTGACTGTCTATAATTGTTGCACTATTTTTATTTACCTGATTTTTAAGTTTGTCAGGTAACTCAAAATTCACAGTGTATAGTTGAAATAATTTTATTTAAGGCCCAATCAGGCAAAATTATCAACATCTAAATGTCATATTCATTAATTAATAGCTATTTGTAACAAATATAACAAATTAATAAAAACAAAATCTCATTTTATTTTTTTAATAATTGACTTTTGATATAAATTAAGGGAAAATGCCGGTGTACAAACATCTTGGCAAGAAACAAGAAGAACAAAAGAAAGAGGAAATAGATCAGAAGAAGAAAGAGGAAGACGAAGCCAGTAAAAAAAGACGCGAGGAGATGGACGCGGAGATACAGAAAAAGGTATATATACTGTTACGTATCGGGATGGGGTTCGGATGCCAGCTCGTGCTTGACAGTTCTTTATTCACCACATAGTTCTATACTAAACACACAATACTACTACTGTACTGCTCTATATGGTTGCAAGTAAAACGCGGTCCTCTTACGGTAGTTGGTTTATTACTTATTTATTTGTTAAGGATCACCATTGAATGATACAAAGAATAGTTAACATCAGACACATTTTAACAAAACAAGAAACAGTGTACATCCTATTTAAGGCTACCACAACATGCAATATAGACACACAGACATGATTTTTTTAAATTACATTGATTCATCTTAATTACTAAAAACATAGTAAAAATAAAAACCAAATTGAATTTACACAAATGTACTAAACAGGAATATATAACATTGATTAAATTAATTTTGGATACATTACATTCATTGATTACTAACTCCTATTGCGTGTGACGCAGCGCAAGCGTACCATACTTCCTCCACGCTTAGTTTTGGAACCTGTTAACAACAGTAATATTATGTAGTATATTGCATTCATTAGTTTTTGTGAATTGGCGGCAAATCTTAAACTCTTGTTACACGTGAAAATGAACCTAACGCAGAAAATTTTCCGTCAATGACTTTCGTTGTGGGCTTACTCAACAACAAAGCTATGATAGGCTGTAATTAGCATTTCTTAATGAAGCTCCATCTCGTGCTACTATTTACAATTGGTTTAACGAGTTTAATCGTGGACGTAGCAATCTCAATGATGATCCGCGTGAAAGACGTTCTTTAACAGCGACTACTGAAGATAACATGGGTGCTGTGCGAGCGACGCCTGATAGACGAAGATAAGAGAGTGACCTATCAGCAGATACGGGCAAGCTTAAGCATTGGTATGAGTCAAGTTCAAAAAATATTACACGATCATTTAGGCGTCAGGAAGCTTTGTACCAGATGGATTCCCCATACTTTAACCGACGACCAGAAACACCTTCGCATGTTTTGGTGCCGCCAAATGTTAGATAAGTTCAACGGCGGTGACTCAAATGCTGTATTTGACATCGTCACAGGTGATGAAAGCTGGATATATTGCTACGAACCCGAAACCAAAAGACAATCAGCTCAGTGGGTGTTTCCTTTTAGTTTTCTTTCGGTCTAAGGACTACCCTAAGGGGTAGTTTCCTTTCGAGGATCGGCCAACTAAGGTAAAGAAAAGAAGAAGTCAAGGAAAAAAGATGATTGCCTCATTCTTTGGTCGGAAAGGTCATTTCGCGACAGTTGTGCTAGTAGATGGAAGGACAGTTTCTGTAGACTGGTATGTCAATCGCTGTTTGCCTGTTGTCTTGGAAAAAAATCGACAGCAGCGCCCTCGAAGCAGGATCCTCCTCCACACGACAATGCTTCAACGCACTCCGCAAAACGAGATAATGAGTCATCAGCCATACAGTCCTGACCTGGCGCCCTGCGACTTTCATTTATTCCCAAGAACTAAAGATAAAATTCGAGGTATTCTCTTTACGAGCCCTGAAGATGCGGTGAAAGCATACGAAAATGCCATAGAGAAGGGAGAAGGCCTAAGGAAGAATGGGCCCACTACTTTTCTCAGTGGTTCCATCGAATGCGACGATGTGAAGAGAGGAACGGAGATTACTTCGAAAAACAATAAAAGTATTGGCAACTTTCTACATTAAGCCGTTTTTCATTTTCTAAACATTTTTAGTGTTACCTAGATATTGAGAAAGAAATGAGTTACAGTTTTTTAAAGGGGAACGCAAACAGGTCCTGTTTAAATTCAGTTCCAATCATCAAATTAGAAATTTGTGTAATGAAGCATTAAATTACGAGTGAGAGAAAAAAAATGATATTCAAAACAATTTAAATTATTTGGTTCATAAAATTTGTTATGCCTAATTTTTTATTATTTTGTAAAAAGTAAAGTTGGGATTTCAGGCCATATAACTTAAATTTTGGGGGTTTTTCACTCTTTGTGAATCTACCACTAGGTTTTTCTGATGGTTAATTATATGAAAATGAAAATATATTTATTGAAACTAATTAAGGTTACATGTATAATTAGGTTCGTTAATAGCTATATTAGTTTCTAGAACTGTGTTACAGCTATTAGCGCCCACCTCCAGATACAGAGACGTGTGTTCCATAATACATATATAAAAATTACAGTTCATATCTTACCATTTACTTAAAGATAAAAAGTATGTATGTGTGTGTGTGTCTGTATTTGCGTGTGTGTCTGTATGTGCATGTGTGTATATTTATGAGAGTGAGTGTCCGATTGTACTAAAATGATAGTTGCATGTGATTTCACATGTATATCCGTGTATTATTTGATGACCTTGAGTAAGCTCTCCGTTTCATATAAAAGGGAATGCAACCACTGCCTAGCAACCGTCTTACACTTATTAAGGGTAAGTGGATATATGTCAATGATTTTGCTGGCTCGGTTATATAACAAAGGAGCAATGTTTGAAAGGTGGCGACGAGACAATGTTAGCCTGCATCTACTAATTTTGCAAACCCTACCACATCCACGCTTACTTCTGGCAGTTTCTGGGTCATATGGGAGGCGACGACGTGTGTACAGGATAGCATTGAGAATAAACATCTGCCTAACAGTCAAAACACCGGTGAGTGAATATAGTTCGACAGTTGGATATCTAAAATGTTTTTGCATCATCACCTTCAGAACCGCTCTCTGGGCTCTTTCTAAACGCAGCAAAACACTTCCAATAGATCCACCCCAAGCACCCAAGCAATAAGTAATTAACGACTGGGCAAGAGAGTAGTATATGACTTTTAACGTAGCAAAGTCAACCACATATCTTAAAATTTTAAATACGTATGCGAGTTTTCTAACACGTGATGAAACTAGACATATGTGTTCCTTCCAGGATAGAGTTTCATCTAAAATAACTCCTAGATATTTAATTGAGGATGTAATTTCAATTTTAATACAGGAGCACGACTGTTTTGGAGTATTTGGACTAGCGTTGCAAGTATGTGCTTGAATAACTATAGAATGAGATGGTAGGGATGATTTTGTTGGACCAAACGCAATGATTTTTGTTTTGCTTAAATTTAGGGTGAGTAGATTTCTGGCAAGCCATAACATAACCGACTTTAAAGTTGATTCGGCACACTTCACAACCTCAACCCAAGATCGACCCTGAATCAGTAAAGCTGTGTCATCAGCATAAGTTATAATTTTGGTGTTCGACAGCGAAACTTCGCAGAGCTCATTGATGTAGATCAAGAATAGTGTGGGACCCAAAACACTTCCCTGTGGAACACCAAACTCAATGAACTCATCATCACCAGTAAAACCATTGACGACAACACACTGCGTTCTATTTGTTAAATAACTGTCAAAAATCTGGAGTGTTTTCCCCCTTATACCAATAAAGTTAAGTTTATGCAGAAGAACAGGAATCGATACCGTATCAAAGGCTTTTGATAGGTCGAGGAATATTCCAAGCGTTTTAAACTTGTTTTCAAAGCCTTTAATCACTGATTCTGTAAGTTCTAAAACTGCATCTTCGGTACTTTTACCTGACCTGAATCCATATTGATTTTTTGATAAGATACTGAAATTGTCTAGAAATAGTTGAAGTCTTTTATTAAGAATTTTCTCTAATATTTTGGAGAAGGTAGTCAGTATGGATATGGGTCTATAATTGCTAGTATCAACTTTGACTCCACTTTTGTAAATTGGGCGAACGACTGCTTTTTTGAATACCTTGGGAAATACTCCATTGTTTATATATTTCGCGGTACAGTGGAATTCAAAACATTTTATATAACCAAATTATGTCACTATAAGAAATTATAAATAAAGAGTCCTCTCCTCTTCCAATTGCGATACCTTACAGGGTCCGTGTTGTTACAGCTATTAGCGCCCACCTCCAGATACAGAGACGTGTGTTCCATAATACATATATAAAAATTACAGTTCATATCTTACCATTTACTTAAAGATAAAAAGTATGTATGTGTGTGTGTGTCTGTATTTGCGTGTGTGTCTGTATGTGCATGTGTGTATATTTATGAGAGTGAGTGTCCGATTGTACTAAAATGATAGTTGCATGTGATTTCACATGTATATCCGTGTATTATTTGATGACCTTGAGTAAGCTCTCCGTTTCATATAAAAGGGAATGCAACCACTGCCTAGCAACCGTCTTACACTTATTAAGGGTAAGTGGATATATGTCAATGATTTTGCTGGCTCGGTTATATAACAAAGGAGCAATGTTTGAAAGGTGGCGACGAGACAATGTTAGCCTGCATCTACTAATTTTGCAAACCCTACCACATCCACGCTTACTTCTGGCAGTTTCTGGGTCATATGGGAGGCGACGACGTGTGTACAGGATAGCATTGAGAATAAACATCTGCCTAACAGTCAAAACACCGGTGAGTGAATATAGTTCGACAGTTGGATATCTAAAATGTTTTTGCATCATCACCTTCAGAACCGCTCTCTGGGCTCTTTCTAAACGCAGCAAAACACTTCCAATAGATCCACCCCAAGCACCCAAGCAATAAGTAATTAACGACTGGGCAAGAGAGTAGTATATGACTTTTAACGTAGCAAAGTCAACCACATATCTTAAAATTTTAAATACGTATGCGAGTTTTCTAACACGTGATGAAACTAGACATATGTGTTCCTTCCAGGATAGAGTTTCATCTAAAATAACTCCTAGATATTTAATTGAGGATGTAATTTCAATTTTAATACAGGAGCACGACTGTTTTGGAGTATTTGGACTAGCGTTGCAAGTATGTGCTTGAATAACTATAGAATGAGATGGTAGGGATGATTTTGTTGGACCAAACGCAATGATTTTTGTTTTGCTTAAATTTAGGGTGAGTAGATTTCTGGCAAGCCATAACATAACCGACTTTAAAGTTGATTCGGCACACTTCACAACCTCAACCCAAGATCGACCCTGAATCAGTAAAGCTGTGTCATCAGCATAAGTTATAATTTTGGTGTTCGACAGCGAAACTTCGCAGAGCTCATTGATGTAGATCAAGAATAGTGTGGGACCCAAAACACTTCCCTGTGGAACACCAAACTCAATGAACTCATCATCACCAGTAAAACCATTGACGACAACACACTGCGTTCTATTTGTTAAATAACTGTCAAAAATCTGGAGTGTTTTCCCCCTTATACCAATAAAGTTAAGTTTATGCAGAAGAACAGGAATCGATACCGTATCAAAAGCCTTTGATAGGTCGAGGAATATTCCAAGCGTTTTAAACTTGTTTTCAAAGCCTTTAATCACTGATTCTGTAAGTTCTAAAACTGCATCTTCGGTACTTTTACCTGACCTGAATCCATATTGATTTTTTGATAAGATACTGAAATTGTCTAGAAATAGTTGAAGTCTTTTATTAAGAATTTTCTCTAATATTTTGGAGAAGGTAGTCAGTATGGATATGGGTCTATAATTGCTAGTATCAACTTTGACTCCACTTTTGTAAATTGGGCGAACGACTGCTTTTTTGAATACCTTGGGAAATACTCCATTGTTTATATATTTCGCGGTACAGTGGAATTCAAAACATTTTATATAACCAAATTATGTCACTATAAGAAATTATAAATAAAGAGTCCTCTCCTCTTCCAATTGCGATACCTTACAGGGTCCGTGTTGTACTTTTTATCTGTTTAAAATATACTTGTATAATAAAATTACCATCTTTGTATCTCCATTATGGACTGCACTAAATGTAAAATTGAATTGAATAGGTGGCAGAATTTAAGGAGAAAATAGCAAAGGCGCAGCTAGAACGACAGGCGCTGGCCCCTCCAGCCGTGGCCCTACCCACCACTCTAGGCGCCCCCCCACCCTACGCGCCGCCCCCGCCCGCGTAAGTATAACATATAGTGCAGGCGCAGCCCCCTCTCCCCCCTCTGTGGCCCTACGCGCCGCCCCCGCCCCCGTGAGAATAACATATAGCTCAGGCGCAGCCCCCCCCTGTGGCCCTACAATAGAAATTTTATTTACTTTAGTAAACCACCTCCGTAAAAATAGCAGAATTTAAAAAAAAAAAGTTAAAGTGTTCTTCTTTCAATAATTTATTAGTACAAAAAGTAGCGTTTCTTTCGTTTACGATAAGCTATGTACAACTTTCGAAATAAACCACACTTATTTAGAAACTATTTACCCTGTTTAGTATAATATGCTTTTTTTATTTAAATATTCGGAAATTTTCTGCAAATCAACCGAATATTCAGTCGAATACAAATATGAAAAATTACCCGAATAGTACATTCGAATATTCATTCAGTCGAACATTCGGCGCATCTCTAATTAGGATAGGATTTTTCTTTATACGAAAACAGATATTTTCATTATTATTTCTTAGTAAATAACGATGTTCCAATACTGAATACTAAAAGTAGTAGAATACAATAATATATTGATATGTCCACAGAGCCCCCACCCCTGCCCCCGGGGGCGCTAGTCTGCCGCAAGACCTACAGGAAGCGTTGGACATAATCTTCCCTTCGGAAGTGAAGCCAGATTTGTCACAACCTGACCTCTTCCTACCACCCTTCCCCATGCCACTGGGATTCCCACCGCTGGGACTGATGCAGCCACAGGTAATCTATACTTCCGGACACATTTATCAGCCCACTTAGTGTTATGAGTTAATAGTAATAATGAATAATGATTCAAACACATCAATTAGCCTAGCCCCAAAGTAAACACTGTAAGGCTTGTGTTATGGAGTATTAGGGTACCTAACAGATAGAATACATATTAAACATCCATGACTGGAGTACAAATGCTCGTATTCAGCACACAAACATCTGCCCCCACCGGGATTCGAACCCGGGAGGGACCTCTCGACACCATGAAACCGGCCGTACAAACCACGCGGCCATGGAGGTCGTCAAGTTTCAACGATCTGTAACAAAAATGTATTTTAGGTCCAGCAATAATATTATATGTCTAAAAACACACGAACAATATGGTTAATTAATTTTTTGCTCTATGTTACATATATTTTTAGCTGGGGACCGTCAAAACTTAAAATTCTAGCTGGGCGGATATATGTGTCCTGCCCCCTAGTATGAGCACTGTGATATGATATATAGCAGGATTTTAGCACGCTCAATGGTCAAATTACTATGGATTTTGACAGTTCGACACAATAAAATACGTGATAAAATGTATAATGTAGAGCTCATGCTACAGGTGTAGAAGTGTATATACTACGTACAGTCATATTTACATTCACGCCATTTGTTATAAAAAATATTGATAAACTTAAGTTTAACATACAAATAATTGACTAAATTCTCATCTTGTAGGTAAAAAATTACGTCGTAAAGTGACGTTAAAATTTTCTACCTTTTGTTCCTTCCAAAAGGCAAGCAAAGGAATCAGTCTAGATAAAGCCTAGTTAAGCCACAGAAAATAAAAAAAATGCATGGACTAACGAAAACGATGTATGCTAAAGGAAAGTCAACCTAAACGGAGGCTTTCTCTCTCTTCAACCAAACAAAACTCATGTCACGTTTTTAATACGTTACACTCTTTATTTGCTACATTAGGTGAATATGGTCAATCAATCCGTAAAAAATGCATTGTTCTAAGGTCAACCAACAAAAAATGTTAATGAAATTAACTTTATTTGATGAATGCTAAATGCCAATGAATATTTATAACAAAAAAATATTTCATAGTTTTACTCATCGACAATTTCGATTACGACCATAGAAATGACAAGATAACTAGCTTGGTTTAATTTAACGACAGGCAAGACAAAGCGCAAGGCATTTCTTTTTCATTATTTTTTATACTTTACCTCATCATCAGCCTATTAATGTCCCCACTGCTGGGGCACAGGCCATCCCTATGGATGGAATAGGGAGATTTGAGAAGTTGTATAACATATTGCATCATCCAAATTGTGGTCTGCAAGCATGCTGTTTCTATTGAATGACACACACTCCAACAGTACCTGTATGAGGAAAAATGAAACCATTGGGACTTTGGACTGTCTGACAGAGCAATGCTTGCATATTTTCAAAACTACCCTGATGTAAAACACGCCAAACTCATTGTTATTATCACCTAAAAACAATATCCCCAATAATCATAATACTAATAAAAGCTTAATATCATTGTAGATGCCGCCGGGTATGTTTGGTTTCGACATGAACGCGCCCCTATTCCAACCGCCCCAACTGTACGACGCGCACGTGCCGCTCGTACCAAGCCCCAGTCCTCGGCCCCAGAACCATAACAAACGAAACAACTCGCAGAAAAATGACAAACGGTTACAGAACCCGCAGCCACAGAAAAATAGCCAAACGCAGAACCAACAGACTGCAGAAAGCTCGACAGCTACCAGCAAACAAACTGAGAGTAAAGAGAATGGGAACATGGCTAGAAAGAAGGAGGAGTTGGACGAGCTGGCCATGCTCGGCATTGATGCTTCAGATGTTGGAGCGATGTGAAAGAAATCTCGAAAACAGTGTCAGTAAAAGTATTGACTAGTGCGTGCAGTGAATGCGTGAATTGTTCTAGGATTGATAGGTACTTTGTATCTCATAATTGGATATGACTGGATAATAATATCAATTTACTAATAGTAACTATCCTGTTCGACTGTCACATATACTGGCCATTTACAAAAAATAATTTCAATCAGCTGATTCTATGGTCGTCTTGGCTTTAATTCTCTACCAATTATTTCTTAAATATCTTTTCTGTGGTTTCCACATCCGAATATTTTAAAAGTCAAATGTTTGAATTTGCACTCTGCCGCTGTTAATATGTAAGCTATGCTAAGTTATTTAGGTTCTTTAAGTATGTGATATGTAAAATAAATATAGTGTACAATCAGCACATTTCTTATGGTATTATAATCATTGGTTGTGGCAGCGTATTATATGCGCGTCTCCTTTTCCAAAAAATAAATTTTATGAGTTACCTTTGTAATTGTTTTGATGGCCAGTGTAATTGCGGTGCAAAAAAACATTTAAATAGTGTTGCCCCTGTATTGCAAACATACTAAATTAACTCCAAATGTAAATAAAACTTGACATGGGTAAAACCATTTTTAAGACAAGATGTGAAAAAAGCTATGCTTTTGATAACAAGGAAAGTAAAAAAAACAATGTGATTTATGTACCTATTCCAAAACTAAAGATCGCTATTATAGAATTGATCATGTTTTTAATAGTAACACACTGCTGGGACAAGTGTTGATTTGAATTATATTTAACATAAAGATAATTTTACTAGAAAAAAATCCACGCAGTCCAGGTTTTTGTAGTAAAAATTTCTTTAGATTTAAACACCTTGAAGTAAAATAAAAGTTAAATGCTTAAAAGATTTAAATGTAAGAAACTATATTTCACCTATTGACGCACCTGAAGTAAAAGATGAAATTGTCGTTACGATATTACGTATTGCTAATGATTTATATCACTCCATGGACGTATAAAAAAAGGCGGACAGAGTTTCGGCTAAGACAATACTGAGGCACCGTAATGGCGGCGGCTATTGATGAGTGAGTGAATTGTAGGGTTGCTAGGTTAGCCAATTTTTTACCAATAAAAAACAGTAAAAACATGAAAATATTTTTTTGATTGTTCAAAATTTTACTTTTTGTCCGACTGCGGAGGACAATGTTTTTCGAGCGTATGTATGTATGTATGTCCAATAATTTGGCACGCCCTACAGCCTGAACGTCTTGACGGATTTTGACCTGCGAGGTGTCATTTGATTTGTCGTGATTGTGTGAGTGGCATTCGGTATATTAAAATTTCAAAAAATCAAAATAAAAGATTTTATGCACCAAAATGAATTTTGATCAAAATTTTGAAAAAAAAATATAAGTATTTTTATAACTCGTCAAGCGAGGTATCAAAGTGAAGGATTTTAAAAGAATATTTAGAAAATATACAACTCGTGTAATTAAAAAATAATGAAATTAAAATGTCGAAAAGAAAAAAACAAGTCCAGTAGTCTAGAATTCTGTTTAATAGGGAATAAAGTTACTTTAACAGTCGGGACTCATTAGAAAATCTAGAATGTATCGAATTTTCTCAATATTGGGTAAATCAACTAAATATAGATGGCCTAGCCTGCATTCTCTTTCATATTTCTTAAAATAAACTAACACCCATTGAGTACTGTTTGTAATTGAGGAGTTCCATTGTTTTCCTCCGAAAGTACTCATCAGATCTCCAGTAAATTAATATGCAGCTATCTCGTTAGTAAACTGATTAAAACAAAAAAAGAATCATCATAAACGGTTCACGAATCTCGGAGATCTGCGCGAACAACAATAAAAAAAACAAACATGACGGATTGCGAACCTCTTTCTTTTCGAAGTCGGTTAAAAATTTTAATCAACCTTTTGAGGTAATGCATACGTAATAACATGCCGGAGTCCTCCTTTAGTTGTATATAAGTCTTGAGCTTCAAAATGAAGACTAAAAATGACACTACTACATATTTGTTTGGAAATAATTCATTTTCCAGTAATTTCTCCATACTACATTTTCTTTAGGAAATCTGATAAAAAAGAATAATAAATAATAGATTGAAGTTAATGTCAACCCAATTTCCCATATTTTAGGTAATATGGTTACATGAACATTGGCAACACTGGGCTTTAGACTAATCATTTTGTCCTTAGAATTAAAATTGATTTCGATTTCTAAAAACTAGAAAAAAGTGATTCAATTATTCATTTACGTATGAAACGTGATTCCTGGATTTTTTTTCTTTCGGCCACTACGGTTTTTACACCTTTTTACAAGCAAGATATCTTGTTTAGCTTATTTTTTATCTCCACGAAACGTGTCGGCTGCTTTGACGTCTGCTCGCGTAGTGGCTGACTATTGTGTGAATGTGTGCGTGCCGGCTTGTACGTACAGCGACCTGGCCGACTCTGAGCGACACAGTTTATTGTTTACCGGGACTCTGTCCGCCCTTTTTTATAAGTCCATGTATCACTCGACTAGATTTATCTGTATTTTTACAATGAGTATTAAATATCATGATTAATAAACATTGCAATTAGTTTTATTTTCGTGTTTCGGCAACGTAGCGACCATTATCTGTAGTGTTTATCTCATTTAGGGTGGATTCGACCATACAAGAGTAAATCTTAATCTTAGAATACATCGTCAGTTAATCGAGAGTAAATCAATTTTACGTTTTATCATCTACAATGCTAATACTTCGTTTACATGCAGCGCGAGTAAGGAGGGAAGTGGGCATGACGAGTATGTAAACACGATACTCGTCATGCCACTGCCATTGCCACTCGCGCTGCCCGGCGCTCCCCAAAAGAGCGGTTTTTTGTGCGGAAGTCAAAGGACCGGCAGCGCGAGTGGCAATGCGTGTTCACACTCTGCGCGTCACTTAGTTCGCGCCACGCGCTTGGTGGAGAAAGATGTGAAATTAAAAATTATTAATTAATTAATATTTATTAATATAAAAAATATTAATTAAATGTATATCTTTCTTTCTTTAATTATTTAAATTTCGAACATAATTATGGATTGCAAAAAGACAGCGAGGCCGCTGTTATTACTTCGACGTCTACCATTGCCGAAACTCTAAAGCGAAGTGAGAGGTAGGGCGGTATGTAAACCTTTGTTTTAATCTAAGATGTAAACACATACTTCTCTCAATCATGCCGCAGCAATATTTAGGGAATTATTGCCGGCAACGCGAGGGGCAGCGGCATGGGCATAGTCTAAACGAGGTATAAGAATAGTGGGCATATTCGGGAATTGTTACTATACCGCCGTTTCGCACGGAATAACAGAGCTGTTCCTAGAATAATGCAATGGCGTCAGTCAGTCCAATCATCTGATTTCTGTCATTTCACAAATATTTATTCTGTGTTTTAATTTCAAGTCAATGCCACGCACTAAATTAATAGTCTGGCATTGTATAATGCAACGTTTAAACAATTTGATTGATGATAGTGGTGAGGAAATTATTCCTAGACGTCCAAGATGGTTAAAAGAAAGTAAAGACTTATTTGAATAATATGATGATCATGATTTTGCAATGAGGTATCGTTTGAGCAAAGAAGCCATTTTGTTTCTGCTATCGAAAATTGAACGTAACTTGGAATATATTTCCGACCGGTAAGTGTACATTCTTTATACATGCGTAGTTTGTGCCCTTTTAAGTGTACCGTAGATTAGACTTGTTGAAAATATATCGATGTATCATGTGATCAGGGTAATAATTTGAATTTTTTGGTTTCCTGTCGTAGCTGAAACACAAACCGTGCAAGCCAATAAAAAAAAATCCTGCTTGTCGCGATTTCATCAAGCATGTTTAACGAAAAAGCTGGCTCAATGCATTTTGCTAGAAACTCGCCAACAAACATATGAATGTGTCACACTCATCCCGTATTCTAATGTCAATAAATAATAAAAAGGAAAAAATATCGATATATCAATAATATCGAGTTAACCTCTCCGGCGGCCATGCGCACGCGCCGCGAAGGGGTCAATGGACCGACCACCCACCGAGCCCCCCCGCGGTGTGGGAATGGTTGCATTGTTTTGCCGATTTCTCAGTTATTTTGTAAGAATACCCTACACAAACTATATATATTTGGATTCTCCATAAAATTTACTATAAAACAGTGTCTAAACAATGCGTCATGTCTATAATCTATTTTAATTACGTTACGTTACGGGCGGGGGATGGTCAAACAAGAAACTTGCTTGATGATCACCTACTCTCAGTATCTGTCCGATACTGGGTTTGGCGAACGGGTTAGGGAGTAACGCAAGTCGCAAGGATCCCCTAATCAAGGCCAGAGGACTATCCTTCACGAGGTTGCCGCCCGTTTTTGGTCAAATACCTTCTGTAATTGACGTAACAGAAACCTCTGGCCGGACCACAAAATCCCACATAGCCGAACCGTGGCGGCGCATATCCACACCCGGGCTCACATGGCCTAGGGGAACTAAATACCCCCTAAAATATTGTACCACACACCCTTGGTCAGGAGTCGTGTGCGTTATTTGGCATTTCCCGCCAAAGCCCCAAACCTAAAAACATGAGTGCTGATAAAGAGAAAACAATACCCCAGGAGGGTATCGCGATTCGCGAAGAATCTCTCACCAAGCCTAGCTTGGTCTGTCCCGTGTATTCTGGGGGGGACAACCAGCGATCAGGGAAGGGCACAAGCCTGGACCTGTCTGGCCTAGCTGAGGCCATAACTTCAGCTACAACAAGCAACACAACACCTGCACAAACACAGTGGACTGTGGTCGCCCATAAGCGCCCCAGCAAAGGAAAGGCTGCTAGTGCGGCGGCCACCCACAAACACACAAACAAAGGTTCGCAGGGCCGAACAGAACGCAGTCGCCCCAACCGGCGCGCGAGAAGGGAAGCCCAGCAGCCCAAAACCAAACTAGACAGTACACAGTCGGTCACCGCAGCAGTAGAAAAACAGCGCGAGCCTGTAGAAATACAAAAACAGACAACACAAACGCACACAAACAACCACAACGGAGACCGAAACCGAGGGGTGATCGTGGTCGGCGGATCGCTGCGGAGGCTCCCACTGCTCCTGAAAAGGAGCAGCCTGGGGCTGTGTGTGGCTCGGGCAAGGCAGCTTCTACGAAGCGGCCACGACTGGACGACACGCAGTCTCCAAGGGGGGATGCCAAACGCGCGAAAACCGACGCGAAGACGAAGCGGACGGTGAGCTACGCAGATGCGAGTAAATCGCATCTGAGAGTAGCGGTCACCACCGTCCCGCCGAGGGACCTCGGCTGAGCAGGCGGAACAGCTGAAGGAGACCATCGACGATGGGATCCTTCAGGCAGTTCTGACTCCGCAGTCTCCAGATGCACAGGCTCTATCTTTCCGCGGGCTTCCTTTCGGACGGGGTCCTAGCGATGTGGTGTGAGGACGAGAACGCAATCAAGTGGCTTGAGCAAAGGTGAAAACCATCCAGTCACCCATACCGAACACCACATTAACGGTCATTAGGCTGTCGGATGTGAAGAAGAAACTCAGAGCTGGGCTTCTTCTCCACACCTGCATCACTGAGTCTGCCACACTGCAGAAACTCCTTTGTGCCCAGAACCCCTGGTACAAGGTCGAGTCCTGGCAGTGCTACGACATGAGCGTTGATGACAAACCGGACAGCAGTTCTAAGGAGAAGGTGGTCCACCAGATCCTTGGAATCCCCGAGGACCAAAAACAAACCATACTGGACAGGGAACGCCGTGTTGCACACATGTCTGGCAGCGGATACATCCGCTTTTTCGCGACAGACGAAGCAACAGTGACTGACCCGACAGTAGCGACATCAAGTGCTACTACAGAGCAAGAAGGCGCTGCGATCCCGACACCCACCACCTCAGCTCCCCAACCGGGTCGGAGCGAGATGGAAGAGGCAGCAGGCCTGAGCTCTGAGGACAGCGTTAGCGACGAAGATGGCGTCCTTCGCAGTCCCTAGTAGCACCATCACTATTATACAGACCAATCTCCAGCACAAGCAGATAGCGGCGGCCACACTACGCAGGGTGCTGGAGACAAACAACATGACCGTCGCCCTGATTCAGGAACCCTGGATCAGAAATAATAGGATTTGCGGTGCGGTCTGAGCAACATCGGTGGTAAGTTACTTTTAAACACATCTGTCGATAAACCAAGGACATGTACACCCAAGTCTATAAAAACAACCATGCTAAACCAATTCTGTTCTAGAGACCTCACAGCTGTGACGATCCCCACAGATAACCATACAGTCCTGGTACTAGCTTCAGTCTACATGCCGAATGAGGAGGAAATTCCTCCAAGGGAGCTGACCGAGCTGGTACGACACTGCGAGGACCACAAATGGGAGCTGATTGTAGCGGCTGACTGTAACGCACATCACTCACTGTGGGGAAGTAAGGACACAAACAAAAGGGGTGAGTTATTAACTGAATACTTATTCCAAACCAACCTTAATATCATGAACATTGGGACGGAGCCCACATTTGTTAGCCCTAGGTACCAAACTATCATAGATATACACTAGCGACACACGCGGTGGCCAATCTAATCGAAGGATGGCACGTGTCAAACGAACCCTCCTTTGCAGACTAACGCAGGATATGTTTCCAATTACAATACAGACAAAAAGACCCTGTTCCATATCGCAACTCCCGAAAAACAGATATAGCAAGGTACGTAGAACTGATAACTAAAACACTAAGCGAGATGCAAATACATGATCAAATCCCTGACATAAACAACATAGAAACAAACGTACAGTTCTACACTTCAGCACTTCTTAAAAGTTACGAACTGACGTGTCCTACCATCATACCGAAAGGCCTGGCTAAAAGTTCCTGGTGGGGGCCAGAACTTGAGAAACTACGTAAGGAACTCAGGACACTTTTCAATCGAGCGAAAAACACCAGAACCAATAAGGACTGGGACAGATATAAAATAGCACAAAAACACTACAAGAAGCGGATCAGATTCCGGAGTAGGGAAGGATGGCGCGGTTTCTGTAGTAGTGTCAATTCAACAAATCAAGCTGCCAGACTCAAGAAAGTTCTGTCCAAGGACAACTCCAACCTCCTTGGGTCTCTGAAAAGGGAAGACGGCACTTATACAAAAACAGAAGAAGAAGCCAATGCGGTGCTACTGGAAACCCACTTCCCAGGATGCCAACTGGCGCCAGGCCTTGAGTGGTCGACTGAGCACCACAATGCACCAACAACCCAGGAACGGGACCTGGCAAAAACAATAGTAACGGCGGAAAAGATAGAATGGGCTCTAAAAAGCTTTCAACCATCTAAGTCAGCGGGACTAGATTAGTGTTGCCCAAATGCAAGAACAAGACGAGACTTAGCAAGTCTTGGTCTTGGTCTTGCAGCAAGAGTCTTGCAAGTCTTGCAAAACTGTTTAATACCAAACTCCCTATCAACACAAGTGAAATAACTGGGCGTAATCCTTGATAACAAACTGAATTGGGCGAGTCATATTGATTTAAAAACAAAGAAGGCCTGCATAGCTTTTAATCAGTGTAGAAGACTAGTTCGTAAAAAGTGGGGTCTAAGTCCAAAGATCACCCTTTGGTTATACACAGCAGTCATCAGGCCCTCTATAACCTATGGTTCAGTTGTTTGGTGGCCCAGGACCCAACTGACCACAGTGAAATCCAAACTCCAAAGTCTATAACGCTTGGCGAGCGTAGCAGCAACTGGATGCATGAGAACAACTCCATCGGCTGCATTAGAGTATCTCATGAATTTAAGACCATTGGACCTGGTCATACAAGAAGAAGCGAACGCAGCAGCCTTGAGACTAAAGTCTCTAGGATTATAGAGATTAAATACTGTAACAACACACTCCAATATTCTACAAAACAGAGATCCCACTCCTGGAGGCACCTATGGATAGAATATTAAGCCAACACGTCTTTGATCGAAGATACAACATCCAACTTACCGCGGAAAAGGCAGATTACTCTGGCGCCGGGGAAGTTAGGATATACACGGATGGCTCCAAAACCAACAGTGGTACTTTAGCCGGTGTCTTCTCAAACGACCTGAATATAAAAATATCTACAACCTTAGGCAAACAAAGTACAATCTTCCAGGCGGAATGTATTGGCATTACCAGAGCGGCACAGGCGGTTGCAGCCAAAGATATCAGAGAGTATAACATCAAGATCATCTCTGACAGTGCATCCGTGCTTCAAGCCCTACGTAGCAACACAATAAACTCTGTACTAGTAATGGAGTGCCACAAGGCACTTCAATCCATTGCGGTTAGCAACACGGTAACTCTGCAAGGATAAAAGGACACAGCAGCTCAATTGGAAACGACGCAGCAGACGAACTGGCTAAGAGGGGAGCAGACACAAAGGTGTATGGTCCGGAACCTTTGCTGCCCATACCTCAGGCCAAAATTAAAACGTGGCTGCGTGAAATAACTCAGAAATCACACTTGACGGAGTGAAAAACAGGTGAAGGATGCCGGCAAACGAAAACCGCTCCGGCGGTAAATAAAAGTTTTGCCCGCACCCTTACCAGACTAAATAGGGACAAACTTCGCAGGATTATAGGATCCCTGACTGGTCATTGTCCCCTAAACAAACACCTATATACAATAGGAGTTACAGACAGCCCCCTATGCAGAGGATGCATGGAGGTAGAAGAAACGCCACAGCATGTTATCATGGAATGCAGGAGTGTGGCCGACCAACGGGCACGACTTCTCCAGTCACCAGAATCGTTTCCGGAAGCTTGCAGCAGTCTACCAAAGCTGCTTTCCTTCTGGACCGATATAGGCTGGCTGGAGTAAACGGAAATGTTTTTGAGACACGCACAATGGTTCAATAATTAGGACTAAGTGCGGAAACCGCCCTGAAGAACTAAGTAACTAATATCGAGTTAAAATGGTCGATATATCGGATATCGATATTTTCCTGACTTCGATATAAATATCAATATTTCAAAAGACTGCATCCCTAGCCATGACCCACCACGCGGGCCCAGTGCGGATTGATGGGTGTTAATGACTGCAAATGCAGCTGAGACTAACGTGTTAACGTGCTTTCCGAAGCACAGAGGAGCTCGAGATAGTAAATTTTTGGTCACCCATCCAATGACCAACCACTGCGAAAGTTTCTTAACTTCAACGATCGCAACCGTACGCGCTAACCACTTGCGCCATCGAGCTCCTATCGATCGATGTAAGTCGTAACTGACTTTTGATTTGATTTATTAATTCTAGTGAGAAGACAACGGGACGCCAGATTTTAAAATACGCCTCTGATAGCCTGCCTGTTGATAAGTTTGACGACTTCCGTGGCTAGTGAGTGATCAGCCTATTAATATCCCCACTGCTGGGGCACAGGCCTTCCCTATGGATGGAATAGGGAGACTGGGTCATGACCCACCACGCGGGCCCAGTGCGCATTGGCGGGTGCTAACGACTGCAGATGCGGTCGGGACCAACGGCTTAACGTGCCTTCCGAAGCAGGAGGAACTAGAGATAGAAGATTTTTGGTCACCCATCCAATGACCGACCTCTGCGAAAGTTGCTTAACTTCAACGATCGTAGCTGAACGCGCTATCGAGCTCACGATACACATTATATCACGTTTTTTATCTCGTCTTACTGTCCATGCATAATAATTTGACAATTCAGCTTAATGAAAACGAGCGATAAGCAAATGGATGCGCCATATGCAGTGTTTATGCTAGGGGGGCTGGCCTTGTTAAACCGTGGAGCCCTGGCACCTTAATCACCGATAGAAAAACGCAACACCCCCAAAAGATGTTGATTTATTGTAGTCTTCTGTAAGATGAAGGTTACTTTCCCGGACTGGCGCTCCAATTCGAGGAGGAAAACATTATACCCTACCTCTCTTGTAAGCTTTTGTAAGTGGATCAATGATAACAATGGGAAAAGGTATAGTCAAGGGCGTACCCAGGATTTCAGCTAGGAGGGGGCAGCTCATACCTGTTTCGAGAAGATGGTCGGTCGGGTATATTGAAACAAAAAATCATGAAAATTGACTTTTATTAATTAGTTTGATTATGACACAAAACAAAATATTAAATATATATAATAATCATAATACACATATATTAATTTAAAAGTAATCTTCTCGGATTTGCCGCCGAAAATTTGTCTAAGACAGTCTTTTGAATAAACTCACTGTTTTCTTTTAAGTAATTGCGATGTACGCTCATCAGACATAAACCCGTAAGCCTTTCTTCACCCATGGTGCTTCTAAGTCACGTTTTAACTCTTCGAAGCGTACTGAAGGACCGTTCTACGGTCGCCGTGGTGCATGGGATAGTGCTTAAAATAATCAATGCCTTTCTGACAGCAGGGTAAAAAATATTGGCGTCGTTGAACAGATCAACTACTTCTATATCCCTTAATTGATCATCTGATAAAGCATTCTTCATCCATACATTATGCCAAAGGTTCAGTTCTCCAGTGATATCCAGGTTATAAAATTCTTGGAATGATTCTGCGTTCTTGTGTAAGTCTGTAATGCTGGTTTTGGTCATATACAAGGGATGTAGCTTACTTAAAGCAAACGCCGGAGTATTTTCTTGGGAGAATCGAATATTCAACGATGAAATGAGTGAATCAATGTATGGTATTATCAGAGAACGCAGCCAATATTCGTTATCATTGTCAGATGGCGGATTACTTCTATGTGATTGCTTATGAGCAAGACGTGGAACCGAAATTTCTATGTTCAAATCCATTGCAACAGCTCGCGCTTTTTGAAGCATTTCATTACTTATATTATCAGGAAACTCGCGGTCATTTCTGAGAATGTCCTTGATATTTTTGATGTGTTCCCCCACCGAGATCATGTCGATAGATTTAGCTTGCAGTGCGTTAACTACTGGTTCTAAAACTGCTGAATATTTGGCTATTGTTTGTAGAGCAACAATAAACACTGGTTTTGTAACGGCTGAATGCAACTGATATGCAGATTTTCTGGTGGCATAATTTCCCTCTACGTATAACGTTTCTAGAGATTTCACATGCTCTGGAAAATGTTGAGAAAACTTTCTGATTGATTTATATTTTTCGGACCATCTCGTCTCACACAATCGTGATAGGTTTGGAGCGTAGTTTCGACGAGTAGTCGATTCTCTGAAAAACGTTATAACATCCTTAACAGTGGCGACAGTATTTCTAATTTCTGGCACTGCGTTCGCATCATTCACAACAAGGTTGAGTTTGTGACTTGAGCAATGAAAATATAAAGCACGAGGATTTTTTTTTTCTCAAAATGGCTTGTACGCCACCATCTTTCCCTGCCATTGTAGAACAGCCATCGAATCCAAACCCTACGCAATCTTCTGTTGGGAGGTTAGAACTAATCAAGAAATTGTCAAGTGCTTCGGCAATTGCTGAAGCATTTTGTGCTTTTAGTTCAACGAATCCTACAAATTCTTCTCTGATTTTCTTTCGTCTCGTTCGTTCGTTCGTTTTGCTTTCGTCGTAGAACCGCACGCCTATTGATAGCTGTTCTTTACCAGCTACGTCTGCTGTTTCATCAGCTAAGACTGCGTAAGCCATGGTCTGCTGAACCTCACTTATTATATTCTCCTTAATAACTTCGCCACATAAATTAATCAATTCGTTTTGTATTTTTGGCGATGTGTAAACTGCATTGCGACGGCACTTTTCCAGGTGACTCTTTAATTTGTCGTCCCCTGAATTGATTCTCAACTTTAATAAATGTAATAAAACACCCTCATCTGCTTGTTTTCCCCTAAGAGGCATATCATGTGTATCACGAAATACTACACAAGAAATAATTGATGACAATATTATTGTCTGTTTTCATCGATTGCATCGACAGGAACATTTTCAAGAAACATTTTTGCAGCATTTGTCGCTGTTAGGTGAAGGTTGGTCGTTGCATGCTTTCGGCAGTCTTCATGCATATTTTTGAACTTTATATATGGCCTGACCATAAATGATCCCAAAATTCCTCTCACAGTACTGATGGGCGGAGGGAACAAAACACAATGCTTACAAAGAGCGCCTTTTAGTCGCTTGGAATATACTAGCCATGTTGCATATTGATCCAACCAAGCATTATTAAATTTCCTTTTCAAATGGCTTGCATCACTTTCAAAATCATAATTTCTGGGCGGGATCCAAGGATGTTGTTACAACACAATGCTTACAAAGAGCGCCTTTTAGTTGCTTGGAATATACTAGCCATGTTGCATATTGATCCAACCAAGCATTATTAAATTTCCTTTTCAAATGGCTTGCATCACTTTCAAAATCATAATTTCTGGGCGGGATCCAAGGATGTTGTAACAACTCCCTTTTCTTTTCCGTCGATAGCTGAGTAGCCAACCCAACATAACGACCCAGGTCATTTTCATGATAGCCGTCGTCCACTATAATTTCAGGATCGACGTTGACGTCATAAGTTTGCTGGGATGTCGATGGAGAAGAATAATCGGCAACAGATATATTTACAGGTTCTGCTGGAGAATGTGACGCTTGTCCAATGTTAGCATGCAATGATCTTGGCATTACATGGGTTTTATCATGGTTGTCATTTTTATCGCTTCCTCGGCATTCTAGATCTAAGCATTTTAAATTATAATTAAGCATAAAAAGTAGCAGTCAATGAGAAAGCTCTTCTAACATGAGATTTCTCAACTTCTTTTTACACTTTTTATCATTACCTATCTTATTTTTTTTTCTTGCACCCCACGTTTTTCGTTATACTTTTTAGTCCGTTTTAAAAACGTAGTAAGTATATTAAAAAAAACAGCTTTTTAGTCATAAAAAATGTGTATTTTTTTAAACTTTCAAACAAACAAACAGACAGACAAGAAAACAATCTAATATTGTATTGTCATCCACTTCTGACCTACAGTCAAAATTTCAAGTCTCTAGCTCATCGGGAAGTTAGTTTAAATCAATTGAAAGATTTGTACCGAACAGGCAAATAGACAAGAAAACAATCTAATATTGTATTGTCATCCACTTCTGGCCTACAGTCAAAATTTCAAGTCTCTAGCTCATCTGGAGATCGGGAAGTTAGTTTAAAATCAATTGCCAGATTTGTACCGAACAGACAAACAGACAAGAAACGGACCTAATAAAAACGTGGTAATAAATAAAGATTAAGATACCTATAAAAACATCACATTCAAATATCAATTACTTCCTATACACTTACAAGAGAGCCCCCCTTAAACAAATCAAATAATCATATTAGGTACATACATATGTGTTTTGTTTTCACTCACCTTTTTCAAAGAAATTCCTGATATCCATTTGACCGGAGTGAATCTTTCCAGTTGTTGCGCAGTAAACGTAAATCTCGTGTCGCCGCAACTAAACTATAAGACACTATTATGGCTCATTAAATATTCGCTCGTATTAAACTCCGAACTAAATTGAATTGTATTCGAAATTTCGAACTGAATTGCCTTGCTCTGCCTCACGAGCGCGCTTATATATTCAAATATTCTCGCTCCCGAAATACGTAGAAAATACTCGACTCTGTTGCCATCCTTGTCTCATACTTGCTATCACTGTCTTTACTTCCCAGAATAGTCCATGCTAGAACGTTCTTCTTTACTGGAAAAAGCACTGTCGAGTGTCGTCGTCCGTAACTAGATAGCGCTAGCGCTAGACGTTGTTTTCTCCAAATTATATTCGGCTTTAATCCTAGATGGCTTTGATTATCTCGTCGGGAGCGGAAACTACGAGATACGACGGTTTCGCGGAAGATATAAATTATATTTCGTCGCTATTATATCGAATGTTGTAGAATATTTAATTATAGATAAAAAAATCAAAATATCTGAAAGATGTTTTGTTTCCAACACTTCATTTTGCGCAGAGTAGGTAACACGTTTTTAGTTCCCACTTGCCAGGAAAATTGACGTTTATTTTATCTTCTACCTGGGTACGCCCATGGGTATAGTGCTAACTTGCAATTTCGAAGAACATCTCTCGACACATACTATGTGTGTTGAAAACATTTGCTCTTCTCAGTCATCTTTGCCACGAGATATGAGTTAGCTTACTGTCTGTTAATCACACTAATATTATAAAGGCGAAAGTTTGTGAGTGTGTATGTTTTGTTACTTCTTCACGTCTAAACGGCTGGAGCGATTTTAATAAAATTTGGTATGGAGTTAGCTGACACCCTGGGTTAACACATAAGCTACGTTTTACTGCGGGAAAATATCCCTAATAAACCGCGGGTAACACCGCGGGCCACAGCTTGTACTGTTATATTTGTCACAGATGGATTGTAGTTTTAGCCATAATACATTCCGTCATGTATATATGTCACAGCCATTTGGTAAAATAAGCCATCGTACCCTTAGCACGAATCAATATCGAATAGTTTGCGGATCAATATCGAATTCGAATAGTTTGCGGAAACTTGAACAGCAGCGCCATAGCGGACGTCACGAGAACTAAAAATAAGTACACATTTGACAATGTCATTTCGCACTCGCAAACTATTCAAATTCGATATTGGTTCGTGCTAAGGGTACAGTCATTAATTAAACGACGCCAACCTATGAAGTTTCTAAAGAATAACTAGACAAATCATTGAACCAGCAGTGCCGGATGCCACACGGATAACCAACCAGTGTGCAAATCCATTTATTTCCAGTCGCCCCGTCCGGGATTGCCACCGGAGGCAAATGGGAATAAAAATACTGGGCCGGGGGATTGCCACCGGAAGCAAATGGGAGTGGTAATCTCCGCAGGGCGACTGGGAATACACGGTCAAAACGTAAGTGGCGCCCTGGGAAGCTAGATTTTAAAATACGGCCACGTTAGGGGTCTAGTCTCTAGTCCAGTGAGTTCTCCAGTCTTCTGTTCCCCCACACCATCCTCCTGCCTTCTGACTTTATTTTGATACTCGTATAATGGTAAGTTTTGTACCAATATTAAATGTCCACAGTTGTTACTCTCCAACAATGTAAAGGTGATACGGTAACATTGAAGTTATAGATGATTTTTTAGTAGAAAGCTGCGAGTAAATGCATGTAAGTACAATCTAGGCGGGAAACAGGGTGCACCAAATATATGTGCGTTCTGTTTCTGTACTACCCACCCACACTTCACGTTCTGTACTAACACCAAAACCAAATAATTCATGTTCCATATATAAATATCTAGCAAAATGTCAAGAGATAACATTTTTATTTGCTAACAACCTAGCTAAAACTGGATAACTTAAAAACAAAACAGACATTATTTGTTATCTTATCAATTAATGTAGGTATCATTAGTATAATTCTCCAAGTTAGACTGGGAGTAAAAAAGAAACTTAATTCACGGTAGAAACGTGAGGTGTCACGGATGATTCACATTTTTTTCTTTTTGTGGGATGGTACCACCATTCAATAGACTCCAGCCGAACAACACAACAATGTAGTTTTTTTTTAGTTTGATTTACTATACCCCAGAGTAAAAAGTCCAGGATAGGCAATAGCCTGAATTCCATTTAATTAGGGAGCTTGCTTTCCAACGGGGACTCCATACAAGTAGTCCCCAGACAATGTAGGTACCTACATTACATAAATCGCTAGGTATCTATCAATACCTACTGTTTGAAGGATTCTTTGCTATATTTACTCTTTATTACTTTAATCGTGAATTTGCTAATCCGTATCTTTATACAGCGATGTTATTATTTTAGAACCTGTCTAAATCTGTATGCTTATCATTTAAATAAATTAAAATCCACTCATTCAAATCTCTATTAAATGAGAACAGTCCGAATAGAGTGAGAACGTGACCCGATGTTTTTGTAGCGATATCAAATTATTCCGATAACGTCTTGTAATTAAAATCAAATGTTACGTCATATTCCTTGATGATGATAATTATGGCTTTCTTCACTCAATCAAAAATTAAAAAAAAAGATAATTACATATATGTTATTATCAGTAAGTACATAATTTCACATTATTTTCGGTCTAGTTCTGTACAGTAGTAACCATTGTAGCACTCGGCTTTCGAAATAAAAGATCGTCAGTTATTTTTATGTAACTTCAGGGTACCTTTAAGATTACATGTTATGAATGAATCAACTCGGCTGTAATCATTATTTAAAAGAGTATCGGTGACGACGCGGCTGTGTCGTTTACCGTCTCATAATGAAAAGATCCCACAAGTAATAAATAAAAACTTCAGCGATGTGGATAGCGATTGTGCGAGTTACTTATCACGACACGACCGTTATAATGATGTGTTTCTCTCGTACACCCCAGTCCGTTCGCAGCAGCCGGCATCGGCAGTATCAATTGAGACCGTAAGTAGGGCTTTACGTAACTTCACGTGCGTTAGTTACATTGTAATAATTATTATGTTTTGGTACACTTTAGATTTAGTTACGCTGCTGCTGTAGACTGAATGCCTTTTTTCGCACGACCTAGGTGTTATATGTAGAAATACTTATAGTGATAGTGCAATAGTTTCAAGCATACAGTGACATGCTTCAATAATTCCGGTAAAAGTTCATACATCCCCGAGTTTTGTTATCTCGCACAATGTACCTAATCGATATTTAGTTATAATGATTTGAAAAAAAAACAGATACTCACAAGTTCAATAGATTCATTGACTTTTTATAAGTATGCACTTTGACTCCAAACAGCACCCTGTTCCACCGGTAGAGATGTTTCAGGCAAGCACTCCATTTCCACTAAGGAGAAATATTAATTTTGTCATGACAAACAAGATCTAGGAAACTAATCTATGCCTCGATTATCTCTTATTGAGGATAGGCGACCGGACAATTTGTCTTTATGTTGAGTATTACCAACGATTAAAATTAAAATTTCATCAGAACCGCTTCCGCTTATTAAAGCGGAAGCGGCGTTCATTAGAACAGATGAAAAAGTTTAGCATCTAATCATTCACATCACATATCTCAATCACTCTGTTCACTTGTTAGTTATATTGAGTTTATAACAGCGGCCTCTGACGGCCTTGACACGGGCATTGATTTAGGAGGACGCGTGCTCGCAATCTTTAAATGCGAATAATTGCGATTGATGTTTCATAATTTTCACTCATATTACTTAATAATATAACGAATAACTAAGTACTTACTTACTCGCTTACCAATCACGACTTCTAATTCGATCAGCTTAAGTAAATCTAAAGTAATAAAATTAGTAGAAGCGTGGACTAGGTAGTAAAATAATATAATATAACTAGTGGCCCGCCCTCGCTTATCAAGTCAACACGCAAGTCTCACGGGTGCGAAGCGGAGAAGACGTTAAGTAGTCCGCGCAGCTTACGAGCGTTTATGGCATACTAACCGCTAAAAAACCCTGCGAATACTCTCTACGCTGATAAGTGCGCACCCTCGAGATTCCCGTTGAGGGACTTCACCGCGTCGCTGCATCCAACAACTCCCAGCCTAGCCGAGGCTCTGCGGCAGGGATCACCCGGGGTATCTCGGATGCTCCCCCAGACGTGCGCAGGACGGCCCGCGCTGAGAGCTAAGTGCGCGGCGTATTGCCCATCACACCGCTCCCCGTCCGGTGCAGAAGAACTGCCTAGTCGTTCCTCTCGCAGGCCCTTCCGTGGCCCTCTCATGTAGAACAGAACTCCAAGTCGGCACCGTCACGGAATCCATCGGTGACCGGGCAACGAGGGATTGCCTCAGGCCTCCTTCGTTTTTCCCTACCTGTCCTTCTGAGGCGGGAGGGAGCGGCCAGAGGATTATCCTCTCGTTCCCTTTTGGCCGCCTCCTTGTGCGAGATAACGCCAACGCAGAATTAGGCAGCTGCTCCCCAAGCCGTCTTGCTGCGAGAAAGCGAGAGGGTTCCGCATCCTAGTGCCGCGATTAACTCGGGGCGCTGTTGTTGCCAGGCTGGGCACTCCAAGGTGTGCTCGGCCGAAAATGTTAGGATCCTGTGGGAGTCAAAAGAAACTAAAGTTAACTCGAACGAAGTCACGGTTGGCCACTAGGGCCTACCTTTGGTACAATTGATTTCGTAGTTTTCAGATATATTTTTTTCAAACGCTTTCAGTGAACAAACATGGCGGCCGACAAAGTCTTCCACTCCCGTTCGGAGGGCATCCCTTCGGAGGGCGTGAAGGACCAGTACGCCGACGGCAAGGCCGCCAGGGTGTGGAAGAAGTTCATCGGCGACAGCAACGAGCGCACACAGAACTACAAGAACTTCCTCATTGGGCTGCTAAGGAAGAACGGCTGCGAGAGTGTGCTCGACATCGCTTGTGGCACTGGGTGAGAATAATTTTTACGTTAATTTCAACAGAAGCTGCAAACCAAGAAGAAATTTTACCCTATCTGTTTATTTATATTGATAGTCTTAGCGCAGTCGACAATAACAATAACCCATTTATTGTGGGTAAAATAGCACTACCTTTTGGGAGTATTGTGTTTCTGTCGGGGAGTGAGATTCCAGGGCTCCACGGGGTAGGGCATTGTGACCATGGGTCAAGACAGGGCCCGATCTAGAAATTTTGCCGGTCTGGGCAAAGATTTTTGCCGCCCTTTAGTGACATACTATATTTATTTATTTAATTCTTCATGCCCATACTGTACAATGGCAGACTAAATGCCGTAGGCATTCTCTACCAGTCAACCATAGGGTGTTGTGGTGATTTTAGTGGTAGGGTGCACAACTGAGGCGTAGATCACATTTAAAGAAATATGAATAGTACTAATGATAAATATAATTATATAACAATAAACATATATACACACATACACATAAATACATACATACATGACGACAAACTACTTAACGAAACGCCTGTTCCAGTAAAAAACGTGAATGATATCGGAATTGTGAGATGGAACGACTAGTAAACGATTGGAAGAAGATCGAAGATTTTTAGTATGAGAGGTACATAAGTACTAAAACTGAGAAGTGAGATAAGGGGAGGCATTTTGAGAATCCAGCAAAGTGAACAAAGTGGTCAGAGCCCACATACATCTGAGTTGCCTAATGGACATTCATTTTAAGAGAGATCGGTATGCAGACACATGGTCACATTTTCTAAGATTAAAAACGAATCCAATGCTGATTTCGATTAAGTTTGTTGAGTAGATCTGCATTCAGGTCGAGGTAGCACACATTACCATAGTCGTTTATGGGAAATATTAAGGTTTGCACAAGCATTGCCTTGATATTGACCGGCAAAAAAAATCCGGCGATAAAGGGCACATACTTTACGGCTGACCCTCCCTAAGTAAGTAAGTGTTCTCGATAAAACCGCGAAAAGAGGCTGTATGGCAATAAAAGTGTCAAAGTTTTTAAGCGTCGTAATTTTGATATTTTTTATTGTCTTTTGAGGCCTGCATGTAGAGGCTCGAGCCGACCTATTCGTTTCTAACTTTTTTGTCATTTAGTGTAACTAAACAGCAAATTGGATACACTTCGATGCTTTTCAGAACAATTAAGTGTCTTAGTGGCAGTATTGTAAGTAAGGTAAAGCAATAGTGGTTCAATAAATAGCTTGGTGATTGTCACTTCCATCTGTTAAACACCGTTTTGGCGAACAGGCATACAGGACAGCAGACGGGGCCTGTTCTACCCCGAATCCGGCTCTGCTCACAATACTAGCTAGACTTACCGCTCTGGAAAATTGGCAACATGGAAACGATTTAACATATTAATGATAACGCAAATAAATAGGTACAACTGACGAAATGTTTCGTGACCTTATCATTTCGTTACGTAGGCGCACATATTATTCAAAGAGATAGTTGTTTTCATTATAAACAATAACACATTGATAGTCGTGTTATAAATAACAAGTGTTATTACTAAACTAACAAGACATATTGTATAGAACACTTTATAACAGCTAACGTTACTTTTAATGATAAACGATGTTTATAACGATACATATATATGTATATCTATCATTTTAGTAAGTATCTGAAGGATGCAAGATATTAGAGCAAATAATGTTGGTAACGTCAAAAGAGGTCGTACGCGAAGATCTTTCCACTAGCAAATCGGCGATAAAATATTTCCTTTACTCACACCAATTAGCCTAGCCCCAAAGTAATCACTGTAAGGCTTGTGTTATGGGATGCTAGGGTAACGGATAGTTTACATATACTGTACTTAAATAAGTATATTTATATGACTGGAGTACAAATGCTCGTATTCATCACAAAAACATCTGCCCCTACCAGGATTCGAATCCGGGATCTCTCGAGTCGGCGACACCATGAAACCCGGCGTACAAACCATTCGGCCACGGAGGTCGTCAAAAAAATTTTTTTTGTCGACAAATAATGTTTTTGTGATAATTTTAAAAACCGCGTATGACACCAAAACATGTAGGAAATGGAAAGGTGTCCCAGTTTGAAAAGATGATACTGCCTTGCAGCCTAAGAAAAATCGACAGATTCATTAAGATCTGGATAGCATGGCCAGTGAGAGGCGCAGGTTGGATTTTTCTGTAGTAAAATTTTCTTTAAAATAGAAATAATAGTTTGTGCCGGTGAATAAGGTTCTACGGCTCCACTGGGTAATAGAAAGGGTCAAGGAAGGTAACCTGCTAATGATATTCAGCAGTTATCGCAAGCGTTTCTAGTCTACTCGTATAATGGCCGCTTACCACCAGCCGGGAGAACGCTTAATCGTGTCCCTTTTAAAAAAAATGGATGCGTGTAACTTATGTACGCGCGTGAGAAGTTATACTTCTTTAGCATCATTAAAATATTTTTTAATTGCATGCAAATAATTAATAATTACAATAAAATAATAAGAGGACTGGAAAAGGATAGTTAACACAGTCAATTAAGTTCAGTTTTAATTTGAAAAATTAAATAAATATTCAAAATATTCAATTAAAATCACTCCGGAATTAAGTTATTAGTCCATATGTAATTAGCACTTGTAAGTAACTAAAACACGTTGTGTCTATATAGAAACTAGAAACATGTGGAAAAATTTTATAAATATGAAAACAGTGATCAGAGGCGACGAGCGTGCCAACATTGTTTTTGACAACGCGATCATCTTATGGAGCTCCGTGGATCGTTCAAAGTACCTTTCGAACAGATGTCTAATATTATTAGACACTAACATTCACAACGCGCCCGCGGCCAACTTCATGGTTTTACTATTGTGTTACAGTGATGCACGCGCATCTCGAAATTTCACTCACATGATTTTTTCATAACGCGCCCGCGGCCAACTTCATGCTGTTACTTTTGGGTTACAGTGATGCGCGCGCATCTAAAAATTTCACTCTCATCAATTTTTCATAACGCGCCTAAAGAAGTATAACTTCAAAAAAGTCAAACCCATAACTTTAACACGAGATTTAAGAATAAGCTTGCCGTTCCATGTTTCAGACTCCAAAAATCAAGAGGTTCATTTCTGGGTTGTAGTATTGCATTGTTTAACAAAGTTCCCCAAGATCTGATTGAGCTTCCACTGACAAAATTTAAATCTCAGATCAAAAATACTCTTATGAATAAGGCCGTATACAGAAAGAAAGCCGAAAGCCGATCGGCGCTTATCGGCGCCTATTGACGCTGATCCTTTTTCTATGGACCGGCGCCGATCGGCGCCGATAAGCGCCGACACGCGCTGGTCCGAATAATAAATAATTTGTATTTGAATTATTATCCTTAGATTAAATCAATCTAAGTTATAATTTTTTTATAAATCTAATAACTTTATCTTTTATTAACTAAGCGCTAAAATTATTTGTTTCGTACTTACCGAATGGTGACAACAAGTCTTTCTTCTGGAAGGATTGGTTGTTTATGCCAATTGCCCCAATTTTTCATCAAACGGTTTTTCACTAAATCCAAAATGTAATAAAATGTTTCTTGAATCATTCTTGTATATGTATAAAATCTTTGTTCATCAATTTTTTTTTTTTACAAATAAATGATGGTATTCTCCGAAACGTTTACTTTCTCTATTTATAGGATGTATAGCTGTTTTTCGCATTTTTAAATAAATATTTTCTAACAAAACCAAATCATCGTCCGATGAGTCCGACATTTTGCTTGATCTGCTTTAATCGGCTTCCTTTATGTAGGAAGGATCGGCGCCGGTAGGCGCCGATAAGCGCCGATCGGCTTTCGGCTTTCTTTCTGTATACGGCCTAAGGGCTATTATAAAGTTGATGATTATCTAAATGACCGTAATGCATGGACATAGTGTTTCTTATAATTTGATATTAAATGGGTATTAGTCATTTTTCATAACAGTAATATTGTACCTATCTAATGCCGCTTCCTATATACTACTTAAAATGTTAACTATAAAATTAATTGTAACTATATATTTATATTCTAGATGATGTAATGGAAAGTGACTTCAGACGTATTTCTGAAGTAATTTTTCAACTTGACGACACTGTATATAACAATACAGGGAGAAAAAAACAGCCCTTGCTGAGTTTCTTGTCGGATCTTCTCAGTACAAGGTCTCCCGCCGTAGTTTTGCAAACCGATGGCGTAGCTTCTTGACCTTCACAAGTGCTTGTAACAGCCTAGACTGAATAAATGACATTTCATTTCATTTCAATGTCCCGTTCAAATCTGCCCTGTTTGCTTTGTTCAAATCTGCCCCACGGTCACTTGGAAAATAAAATATTACAAATAACGCGCCCGCGGCTAACTTCATTATGTTAAAATTTTGTGTTACAGTGATGAAAATTTCACTCTCATAATTTTTTCATAACGCGGCTAAAGAAGTGAAGAAGAAAAAATGAGGCTCACTACTTCTCAAACTCGAGCTACCCACGATTGGCACCCTACTTTACTTAAGTATTCTAAATGGGTATTATTTGCACTTGCAGAATAGACTCAATGATGCTAGTAGAAGAAGGGTTCAAGGTGGTGTCCGTAGACGCGTCAGACAAAATGTTGAAACACGCTCTCAAGGCACGCTGGGACCGACGCAAGGACCCCAAGTACGACGAATGGAGTAAGTAGTCATTCGAGTACGTTCGTAATTTGAAATTAATGGAGGCGGGGGGTATTGACTTTGACAGTACAGAATATCCAATTAGGTTGAGACAAATAAATAATACAGAATATACCTACTTACTTACTATTCTTAAAACTGCTATTAGAACGCGGCACGAAACTCTAGCGCTGACCGTTATTGCGCAGAAGTAAAAATTAAAATGTGTTGGGAGGAAACGAGGTGCGCGGGTGGGCGTGCGTTGCGCCGATTGGATCTCCAGTCGTACCCATGCGCAGCTATCCCTTCCGCGATTTGTTGAGCGCTAGAGTTAAGGTACAATTCCGCAATGGGCTGCAGACGACAACCGCAGGCGACACTGCGGCTAGCGCCTGCGACTGACTGTGCATTTTAGCTATTCTAACTACCAATCTTTCAGCGCCGGTTTCGAATCCTGGCTCGATTTGCTGCCAAGCAAATAGGCTGTATCTAGTTTGGGGGCTTGATGATTGTTGTGACTGTTCAACATTTATGTATTTTCCGTCCAGTCAAATAGAAGGAAATTTAAAATAGCACTAAGTGATGGCACTGGATATGGATACTGGACCGAAATACAAGTATTTACCTAGTTCGGTGATAGATACTAATATTGAAAAATGCATATATTACTGTGTCATTATAATTAGCTTACAATTTAGCAATGTCGTTCTATTACTTTTATATGAAATAAATTATTTGCAATCCTGTTTGTTGAGGGCGCAGTAAATGATAGACTGACTGCGGTTATAATGCTCTTTATTATTGCTTTAAGTACATGAGCTTATATATTTAGAAGCGAAGACTTTGTGCATACATCGATATATGAATTACCTACTACACACACTACATATTACTATTATAGTAATCGAGGAAGCGAACTGGGAGACTCTCCCTCGCGACGTGTCGTCCTTCCTACCCGGAAAGTTGTTCGACGCGGTCATCTGCCTGGGGAACTCGTTCGCTCATCTACTGGACGATGACGGCGACCAGAGGGGTCAGAAGATGTGCCTGCGCAACTTCGCGCAATGCCTCAAGCCCGGCGGATTGTTGTTTATCGATCATAGAAATTACGACGCCATGATCAACAGCGGAGCTACGCCCGGACACTCCATATACTATAACGTTAGTATTGAGTGACTATAATAGGCTAGTTGACTCATGTCGAATTGTATTAAATAAATGTTTATTTCTTAAAGTATTTGATCGAAGGAACCTAAATATATCGTTTTCACTTCATAAAAGCAGAAGATTGCTGCAGAAATTGAATTTAAAAAATAATTTTTAGTCTATACTTATTAAACACTAAAAACGCTGTTCGCCACGCCACATCCGCCATGATTGTGGCGTCTCTTTTAGTAAACAACTAAATGTCATTCATACATAACTTTAAGACTTGTATTATTATAACTGATAATAAATGAAGAGACTTAAAATATTATTCAACGAGTACTTACATCAAAGTGATCTTCGCAAAAATAAATTTTATGAGTCGATAAAGTTGCAGGATCACTTTTAGCAATTCTAACCAGGTATTGCGTAGGTTAATTTCTTTCGGCACTTTAATCCACAACTTTTGTGGAGTCTTCAAGGATGTTTTTTTACATTCTCGTACAATACAATAATGATAATTACTATATTTTTCGTGGTATCTATTAGAAATCATGTTTATTTTTTATTATAAACTCAGAAAGGTTATTTTCTACGTGCTTACGAGTTTTTGTTTACTACGGTCAACGTCATAGCATAGATGCATAGATAATCTATAGACTAAAATGGCCGACAGCGTTTTTGTATGTCCATGAAAAGTCTATTTTAAAATTAAAGATTTGTAGCTTTCTGGGTGTCATAAAAATACAATACATTTTTTTTCGGTCTAATAGATCATTTATTAACCATTTAAAACCTTTTTCCAAAAACGGTCAACTAGCCTATTACATGTTGCTACAGGTTTGCCATCTCTGATATTATCAGGGATGGCAAACCAATGGCATGATGATGATAATATAATAATAATAAATATATCTTTATTCAAATAAGGTCATACATTGCATAATAATACTAATAACAATATAAAGTACAAAATAATGGATGCCTGAACTAGGTTACAGTTAAAATTGTACCTGTATTTCAGGCTTTTATGATCTAAATAATACATGGGTGTCAATTCTGGCATGATTCTCTAAATCTAAACTTAAATTTGACAACAGTGCATCCTTGCCATTCTCTATACAGAATGAAAAGGAGAGACTGATGTTAAATTTAGTTTTAAGTTTAGAGAATCACTCTAGAATCGACACCATTGAATGATTAATAAATTAACAAATTAATTAAAACAGAACTTAAAGTAATCATTGTATAAATGTTGGTAAATGTAAATTATGGAGTTACGTTCATTTATTTACAAATAAGAAGTAATCCCAATAAACATTTAGGCGTCAATTAGAGCTTGTTTTAGAACTGACCGAGATATAAAGGCTCTACAGCAGCAGCACTTACAACTTTTGGCGACAAATGAGCGTAAACAAGCAAAATATTTCACGTAGAGCTATACCACAGAATTACAAGGGTGATAACAGGGTGAGTTTAAAGGTTAGAGACATACAGCAGCACTTTTTAACTCTACAATATGGGCAAAGCATCTTGTGTTATAGCTTTAAGTGAATCTTACAACTACAGGGTGGTCAAAAAGTCGTGGATCAAACGAAACGGGGAGATAAAGAAGGTTATTTCCAACAAAAAATCTTTCTACAGCATGGCCATAACTTCATTGCACGAAATGTTATGAATATTCTTGTTTTTTTCAATGAATCTACCGAGTATTTTGACAATTTAATCAATAAAAAAATAAATTGATTAAACACAATAAAACAAAAGGTGTTGTATTATGACCGGATTATGTATCAATACTACAAAAATTGTATTGGAGCTCTCGGTACCAAATTTAATGAGCAATGAATTTTTTTTTGTAAATTTTGAAGCGTTACAAAGAATTACTTCTCACTTTAGGAGCACCATGTGAAAAAAAAATGTATTACGGAAAAGTGGCCCTGTATTAAAAAAACTTGCTGATTTAATGCTGATTCAAATAAGGTACAACACTGTACTATGTGACCTTTAGTTTCGGTTTTATGGTCATTTTTTCATGTCAAGGTGCAAATTTATAAAATGGTAAATTGAAAGGAAAATTTAGATTCTTGCTCATACATACTATGTAGTAATTTCAGAAGCCATCATGATATAAAAAGAACAATTATGACTTAGTAATTTCATTACAATTAAAATGTTTACATTAAATGTTCAAAGTTCCTACCTCTGACCATAATGCACAATCTGCACCGCCTAATAAAATTCCCACGTAATCGGCGAAATGCACCTCTGTTATTAACAATTTGTAACCTAGCGAACTCGAGCTTTTGTCGTAGTTCTTGTTCGGTGTTATTCTCTCCTTGATACACTATTTCTTTGAAATAGCCCCAAACAAAAAAGTCTATTGAGTTAAGGTCGGGCGACCAGGGTGGCCATGCAATAGGTCCGCCTCGACCAATCCACCGGTTAGGGAAGCGCTCGTTCAAATGTCCTCGAACTGCTCGAGCAAAATGAGGCGGGGCGCCGTCTTGTTGCAGCCACATCTCTGCCACTCTATCTTCAGGAATCTCAGCTTCGTTGAGTATTTTGTTCAAAATTAAAAATTCAAATACAGAGCACCATTCAGCCTTGGTGTCAGTTCATGTAGCACAAGCTTCTGGTCAATTATTCCAGCCCACATGTTTATACCAAACAAATGCTGGAATCGATCATTTCTGATGATATGTGGGTTCACTCTTGAGTAAAAGTGTAAATTGTGGATGTTAAAAATCCCCATTCATCTAAAATTTGACTCATCAGTCCATAAAATATTGTTGAAGAACTGCGGATCCTTTCTGTGTCGTCTGCTCTGCAAAATACCATTCTAGGTCCATAGTCAGAGGGCTGTAAAGCTTGCACCCTTTGCACGTGGTAACCGTGGTATGTTTTTCTTTTAATAATAAGCTGCACCGTCGATCCTGGGATCCCGAGATTTCGTTGGCGTTGGCTAATACCAGGGTTCATTCTTAACTGTCTCAGTATTTGCTCTTCATTGTCAAATCGTACCACTGGTCTACCTGTTCTCATTTTTTGACAAAGGATTAAATGGTTAGTGTGAAAGAGTATCTGTCCATTTCATAAATCCTAAGTGTGACAAGAACAGAACATTTCTAGCGTTCCAACGTACAAAAAACTAGCCGTTTATGATCAACTATAAATTATTTTAATAAGGTTAATTTAATGAAATTTGCACCTTGATATGAAAAAACGACCATAAAACCAAAATTAAAGGTCACACAGTAAAGTGTTGTACCTCATTTGAATCAGCATTAAATCAGCAAGTTTTTTAATACGGGTTCACTTTTCAGTAATACATTTTTTTTTCACATGGTGCTCCTAAAGTGAGAAATAATTCTTTGTAACGCTTCAAAATTTACGAAAAAAAATTCATTGCTCGTTAAATTTGGTACCGAGAGCTCCAATACAATTTTTGTAGTATTGATACATAATCGGGTCATAATACAACACCTTTTGTTTTATTGTGTTTAATCAATTTATTTTTTTATTGATTAAATTGTAAAAAAACTCGGTAGATTCATTGAAAAAAACAAAAATATTCATAACTTTTCGTGCAATGAAGTTATGGCCATGCTGTAGAAAGATTTTTTGTTGGAAATAACCTTCTTTATCTCCCTGTTTCGTTTGATCCACGACTTTTTGACCACCCTGTATAAGATCTAAATAAGAAGTGAGCATTGACTACAACCCCCCAAAGTGCTATGCAAGCGATAATAAACTCTCACCAAGAACCAAAAGTTGCACAAAAGCAATAATTACCACGACCAGTTCCACAATGGTGCTCATAAATTCTTTTGTACCACCAAATGCCTAAAGAGGTACAAAATGCTCTTAAGTTACTAAAAGTCGAACAGCAGTAACATTCTTCGCTATGATAGAACTTCTAGTGGTTATTGTGACTTCTTTATAACTTTAGGTAGAGTAATAGAGCTTAATACCACTTCTGTACCCCTCATTCGTTTACTTGTTGTTGATAGTAATGCAATGGCGACGGAACTAAAAAAAGGTTAGAAAAACATAAAAAAACACGGTTTAATTGAAGTATTTTGCTTTATTGTGTTCTAACACTACTAGCACCATACCTTAAACTAGAATAGGCAGCGTTTTATTAGATTATTACAAAAGTTTTATGTTACTCCATATCTAATAAAATATTTCTTTTCAGTAAATAGACAACAGACATCGGGCGCTTGAATAATTTGTTAATAATACATATACTTATTCACAGTGTACTTATCTTCGCAGTAAAAAGTCAACTTCTGTGTCCACTAGGTTGAAACTAAAAGATTATACTTTTAATTTCATTTTCACAAACGAATGGCGGCGTTTTGGATGCGACAAATACTAACATACGCACTGTTCGCACATAAAAACGAGAGGTTAAATTATGTTGACGAAATAAAAAAATAGTTTTAGAAGTTAAAAAGGTTAGCACCTGAAGTCCTTTTTATAGCTTTTGTGCGTCTATATTAGAGTTCAAAGCGGTAATAATCACCTACTTGCCACTCTCTTATCACTTAAAAATATAGTGAGCGACATTTTAGTTCTACCATACCACTTAGGGAGTTAGTATCCACCTATTTGTAGCCCTTTTAGCACCCAAAGGGTTAATAAACGATATTTTATTCTATTGTACCACTAAGGGGGTGAATTTTCGCCTATTTATCACGTTTTTATCCCTTGTAGTTTCAGTTATCACTATTGTAGCTCTCTTATTACTTTATTATACCTCTTAACCTATTCTGTAACTCTTATTTACCGCAATTAAACAACCTAAGGTGATAAAAAAAGTGTGCCCATTTCGGGGATACAGTAGAGATATAGCGCGCTCTAACTCCGAATGGGTAACACTTATTTATAACTTTAGGATCTGGTTAGCTCTTTAATAGATTTACTATAACTCTTGTCTTAGCGCCTAAGTGTTAGTTGGTATTCTTCGGTCTGCTCGTATGTCAGGCTGTGCAAATAATTAAATACTACAGTTCTACAGTTAAAATAGTTTAATGTATAAATACCTAGCACTCTATTTAACTTAATAAATAAGAAAGGACTTAGGAAAGTAGAGAATCTATGTGAAAAGATGTATTTTGAATCATGTGTAGAGATGCAGACGATATCTTTCCGTCTTTTGTTAGTGATATCAGAGCAAAAAGGTGAAATGGTGTGTTGTTTTAATATGATGAGATGATGGTTATTACTAGAGATTTTTTTTGTGACATTGTGGGTTACCTGTAATGCGAAGAGATGGCGCTGCCTTGCAGCTTAAGAAAAGCTAGAAAGAATTCGACACGGCAGTCAGGGCCGCGGTAGCATAGCGGTCAGTGCATCCGCCGGGATAGTGAAGGGTGCGGGTTCGAGTCCTGTCTGCTGCCTGGCTCGCCTGGATTTTTTTCTAGTAATATTTTATTTAGATTTATTACTAGATAAGTTTGCTAGGGTTGTTATGATGGTGAGATCTTTTCCAGTGCAAGTACCCGGTGGACATCAAGACGTCGGTATTGGTGGTGCGCGGGAAGCCGGAACTCGTCACGCTCGACTACTGCATCGACGCCGGAGAACACAACGAGAAAAGGTATGTGCCGTCTGGACAAAATGAATGAAATTAGGCACTCGCAAACTATTCGAATTTGATATTTGTTCGTGCTAAGGGTACAGTACCCCTAGCACGAACCATTATCGAATTCGAATAGTTAGCGAGTGCGAAATGTCAATATTAAATTTTGTATGGAAACTTGAACAGCAGCGCCAAAACGAACGTACCGAGAACTTAAAAATCAGTACACATTTGACAATGACATTTCGTACTCGCAAACTATTCGAATTAGATACTGGTTTGTGCTAAGGGTACTGTACCCTTAGCTAGCACGAATCATTATCGAATTCGAAAAGTTGAATTCGATTCATTTTGTACGTCAAATGTATATTGGTTTTTAGTTCTCGTAACGTCTGTTGTGCCGCTGCTGTTCAAGTTTCGATACAAAATTTGACAAAGACATTAGGTACTCGCAAACTATTCAAATTCGATATCGAGTCGTGCTAAGGGTACTGAGGCCCTAACACGAACTTAGACAGCTTCGTAACGTATCGCATCGTCCAAATTTCTATGAAGTCTAAGCAGCGTCCCTATCGGACGTAACAACAAACTTGATTTTCCATACAAAATTTGACGATTACATTACTTTACTTTACTTTACGGAGCTGTCAAAAATTCGTGCTTGGACCTTTAAAAACCAGTAAGTTTAAGAACTGGAGCGCCGGTCTGAGGAAGTAACATCCACCTAACAGAAGAACACAGTAAAATAACACTACCTTTTGGCGGTGTTGTGGTTCTGTCGGTGAGTAAACCTACAAGGCTCCACGGGGTAGGGAGTCAGGGTAGGCAGCGGTGCGTAGTAATTAAAGCTACTATTTGGCTACTCCAATTTGTGTGCTGTACATGATGGAAATGAATGGTGTGCTTTACGTAACTAACATGTGAACATTATAGTCCTGTAAACTCCTTCTTCAGTACATTCCATGGTCATTAGCATTAATAGTAATTAGTGCTATTACGTGGGTACCACTTTTTGCGAGTCCCCGATATTTTTGCACTAGCCCTCCCGTTAATTACTTCAATATATTATGTAAGCAGAGGAGCTTGATGATGCAGTTGGTTGGCGCGTTTGGTATGCGATCGTTGAAGTTAAGCAACTTTCGCAATGGTCGGTCATTGAATGGGTGACAAAAAACTTATTAACTCGTGCTTCTCCGTGTTTCGGAGGGCATGTCAAGCCGTTGCTCCCGGTTGCATCTGCAGCCGTTGGTCCCGGCTGCATCTGCAGCCGTTAGCATCTACAATAGGGTCGCGTGGTGGGTCACGGCCCAGTTTTCCTATTCCATCTATAGGGAATGCCTGTGCCCCAGGTGTGGGGACTTTATAGAAATTAGCGGGACTGCTTATTTATTCATCATCATCAGCTATGTACCTATTGATTTATGTACCTATGGTCATTAATTAACTTTTATTATCCAGCGAGTTCCGCCTCTGCTACTACCCTCATACACTGAAAAAGTTCACGAGCATGTTGGAAGAGGCGTTTGACGCGCGCGCCAAGCACGAGATCTACGCGGACTTCAAGCCTCTCAACCAAGTCAGCACGCCCGGCTTCTATATACACGTCATGGAAAAGGCGAAGCAATAATACCAACACTTGTCTACAACGCTTACTTCATAAATTCGATTATTTATAATACGTCAGTTCTCGGACATGACAATCCACAAAGCCAAAAAAGGCAGATAGGCGTGGTTGGTGTCGTGAATTACCGTGCCACAATTACTTCACACTCAACACGCGCCTTGGACTTTGTTTAAAAAAAATGCTCTTTGTTTTCAATCTCTTAAATTCGAATTTTAATCTTACACTGGTTTGTCCAATCAGAGTCATGTCTCAACTTTGGCAATTTCAATTTCAAATGAAACTCGAGTACTCTGTAGTGAGAGTGCTCTGTGATTGACCTTATATTGTGTAGCCCAGCTACATGACCACAATATTTATATAACTACTACGTTCATGTTCCCACTAACAACACAAAATCATGGTGTCATACTGAAATCCTAAGTGCATTGTGAAAGTATTATTCGGATGACCTAAACTTTTATTGTGAATTAAGTTTACTTAATTTATTACATCACGTCAGCAATATTAAAAATTTAAAGCCAATTTTTTTCTGTAACTCAAAACTGTAATTAAGTAAATAATCAACAGTAAGTAGAAATTAATGCTAGGTAGTTTATGTTGTTAATTTGTTTTGTTTTGTTATTTGGTCCCTTGTTTTGTGAAAACTGTTTTTAGACAATAGGCACTATCAACATCCTAGTCAATAAGAATTATTTTGTTAAATAAAAAATACAAATTATAAAATATTTTTTCATTTCATGTTAAAACTAATTCCCTTTTCTTCTTCTATACATATACAGATTCTAAGCACAGGCCATACTTGACAACCTCCGTGGTGGAGTGGTTCGTACGCTGGGTTCCAAGGTGTCGCCTACTCGGGAGGTCCCGGGTACGAATCCTGGTGGGGGCAGATGTTTATGTGATGAATACGAGCATTTGTACTCCAGTCATGGATGTTTAATTTGTATTTCTATATAAATATGCCTACATATTATGTATCAGTACATGTACTCTATCTGTTACCCTATTATGCCATAACACAAGCCTACAGTGCTTACTTTGGGGCTAGGCTAATTGGTGTGTGTTGGAAATATTTATTTATAGCAGCACAAGGTTAATTTTGTAGTTTTACAAATAGCACTGACAACTAATTTTTTAGTCTAAATATAAAAAATAAACACAAACTTGTTTTAAAAACAATATAGTTTCTTTTCCAGTGCTAAATAGCTAGTGAACACATTGATAGTGGTATTAAAGATATTTTCACTAACAAAATAACAAAGGGTTGCTTTTCTATCATATAACTTTTTTAAATCTAAAGAAAAGTTTACTAGAAAGACTTTCTTTAGATTTAAACATCTAGCAGTTAAATGCTTAAAAAATAAATAAAATCATAACTATAATTGCTATTTCTTCTTTCAAATGTTTAATACTTGAAAAAGTATTCATTTGACATTGTGGGTTACCTACAATGCGAAGAGATGGCGCTGCTTAAGGCTAGGAAAATTTCGACGCGGCTAATAGGGCCGTGGTAGCATAATGGTCAGTGCATTCGCCCGGATAGAATGACCCAACAATGTCTTGTTAATTTTATTAGTATCATTATCAGAAAAGTTTGATAAGTTTATAAGTAATAAAAATGCTCACTATAAAATGGAATATAATTTATTTTAGAGAAATAAATGGAAATTTGGACATAATTAACTTATATGCAGGCTTATCAGTAAAATAAAACTATATTAGCTACAAACTAGAGATTTACGATCCAACAATGATATTGTTGATTGGAATGTGTATTAGCTTCACGAAAAATCCAATGAAACCCATAATGCAGAATCCAATAGCTGTAGCAATTGCAATCTTCTGGAATTCTGAAAAGAAATAAAAAGGAATTTGTCAAATACTAATATTTGTAATGCTCAAGTAATAACTTCATCTTTATTTATGTAATCAATAATGTTTTGCTTTTTATTTAAGATTCCTCTCTTTAAACAACACAACTTTTTTAAGGTTAAGCTGTTTTAACATTGCTTACAACAGATGGAACACAATGCTGAACTGAGATTGATAGAGACAAAAATAAAATGAACCAGCTGCAAAGTTTTCTACACAGTAAATTTTATCAACAGACATGGTATATGGAACTGAGGAACTATTTACAACCAACAGGCTTCCTAAATGAAACAAGTTTCAATGGGTAAGATGCACTGATTTTATTAAATTTATTGAAATCTTCAACGGGTTAGATTTCAATAAATTTAATTGTTTTATTTAATGAGTGATGTGCGTGAACACCTAAGAAACAACAAGATTTACAGTGTGCTCACCGATACCAAGTATGGCATTGTTAAGGTAGAGACTGCCATGTTTGGAGTGTTTATAATTTATTAATTCTTAGTCCACTACACACACTGTTAGCAAAAGTGTTATATGTTATGATAAAAATTTATTTTGGTGCAAAGTAGAGTAGGTTTGGAGTATCTTTGCAATGCCATTGAGAGGCCAAATGAAAGAAAGACAAGTTGTAGAGTGGCTTTATTAAAAGTGAAAGTAACTGCTACTGCTCAATGTTCAAATAATTACGTTCAATATTTAAGAGATTGTATTAGGTTAATAGAAAATATATTGACAAAGAGAATAATGCGCAAACTATTGTAATATTCTTTTTTTCTACTAAGAATCCTGGGACTTTCGTCTGTCAAGATACTGACTCTATCTTATTATGTTGTACAATTTTGGTAAAAAAATATTAAAAGTTGTTGTCATATGCCTACCCAAGTTCACTTACACAGAAAATAGTCTTTAATTATATGAATGATACCTGGCTTTTTGCCAGCTCACGTAATAAGTATTTGAAATGAAATGGAAATTATAGAATTACTAGTTTACCTTTTCTATCAGGTTTTGTGCATCTTCTGACCAATCTGATGGAATCTTTGGCGAACTGCTTTCCAGGCTCGACAAACTTGGCAATTTGATCCATTTTCTGAAAATTAACGACACGCAATGTTTAGGACGTAATATTTATATTTAGTGTCATATCGAAGCACTTTAGGTTACAATTCTCACACGTAATGCACTTACAATTTAGGGTTGCTTTCAATGTAAAACTGAACAAATGAGAGAAAACGCCACAACGAAATCGTTGCAAACGTAGATGCAAAATGAAATGACAGCAAATACGTCAGCCACGTCTCGAAAACTCACCGCACGTCATCATAACACATACGTTCGGATACTTCAAATTACACATTTTATTTAGAAACTCCTCATGTTCTTGTGTAATTCTATTTATTAATATTCAGCAATAGAGAGTTATACTTTTTAATCAGACAAATATATTTGAATTTATGTGGACATTGATTCCGACACTTTTTGAGCTCAGAACAATGAGATCACAGAAAGCTACTGAAAAAAAAGATTGTATTGTATGAATTAATCAACAACCTTTGCCTTTATTATGGGAATATTTAATAAAAAAATCGTGTATGTCAAAATTTAAAACGGAACAGTTTTTTTTTTTTGTTACAGTTATTTTTTTTAAGATTCTTTACCCATTCTGGGTAGGCAATGGGTACTGTGCCCATAAAGCCAATTCTTTAGTTTATTATTTCAAAATAAAATCTGTTGTAAATAATATATGCTGATAAGCTGTATTTCTTCTTTCTTGATTTTTGTTACAGTCACTGACAGCCACAGGTATAATTTTGTGTTATTGTTTAAAAATATATGAAGTTGGAGGAATACCTAATAATAAGTAAAAAAGATGTGAATAACGCCATCTAGTGAAATATTACATATCTAAAATTCGTTCTGTGATGTCCATACAAATAATTGTAGTTCGAAGTGAAAAGCCCCTGTTTGGAGTTTTTGGCGGGATTTGATCGAGTGTGGTTGGCGCAAGAAGCTTATATACAACACTGGAGATTGCATGTAGAACTTCTATATGAAGATGAGTTCATTAACCCCATGATATGTTTTTTATCTCTCTCACACACTATCTGAAATTACCATGTTAAATACAAGGAATTCCAATCAGAAAGTAAAAAAAAAAGGACTATGCAAGATATCAATCAGTTTTACAATCTCCAGAAGTCCTACTCTTGTATTACTATTATAAGATGAGTGTGACAAATTCTAACCAACTACTTTGAAATCAATATTTAAAACTAAATAATAAATACGCCCTTTATTTCCCTGTTTGCTGGTTGCTACCATTTTGGTATAATAGCAACACTAATTAAAAAATCAACTGAAGAATATCTCCGATCTCCCAAAAAAAATCTACCGCTTCGAATGTTTAGATTATTATTATTAAAAAGTGTTAAATTGTTCAATTTGCTATTTATTTATAATATGTATTGTGTTGTGTGAGATTGCAGAAGTATTTGGGAAACAAATTCCAGCACTAAATTTCACAGGTATTACCTCTTCAAGCGGCAAACGGCCGACTGTCGGCAATTTTTATTACCATTACGCCAATACCGAAATAAACATATTCCTATATTTTTATGTTGTAATCATAATAAAACCTTAGTATTTATAAATCATAGTGTCCTGAGGCTATAAATTAACGTTATTCTTGTTTTATTCACTACATTTGGTACCATATTCAGCCGTTTATTAAATTAAAATAATATAAATTTTGGTTTTGTAGGGTAACCATTATCACTACACTTGAGATATTTTGAGAAAGTTAAAATACATAAGTATTATTGTAAATATTAATTACAAAGTTCAAAATATGAAAATAAGTTTATAATAAATACTGTAGTAGATCATGTTGATTAGATGTAGAAAACCTATTTAATAACAGCTATCTAGCAGAGGTCTTATACCTTTGTTTATGTTTCAGCTTCCCGAAAGATGTCATTAAAAGAAATTCTTGGTTGTCCATTATACTGTCACAAACGCTCTCGAAACGGAACCGCGAATGTGCTAGAGATCGAATTTGCCAGAGCATCGTGGGTCGCAATAGAAGTCGAGTAAGGCGGCTCATTCTAAAATGAGCCTTATGCAGTGCGACGTAAAGGAGAAAGTGCAACGATATCTGCACTTGTTTACAAGTTATGCGTGTTACTTGCGTAGGCATAAGTAGGTATTTCGTACTCGCGGGTGCTAGGTAATTCTCAATTTAACAGGTACTTTCTAGAACTTCGACTTTCGACGACCTCCGTGGTCGAGTGGTTTGTACGCCGGGTTTCATAGTGTCGCCGACTCGAGAGGTCCCGGGTTCAAATCCCGGTGGGGACAGATGTTTGTGTGATGAATACGAGCATTTGTACTCCAGTCATGGATGTTTAATATGTATTTCTATAAAAAAAAAACTTATATATGTACAGTTTATGTATTCTATCCGTTACCCTAGTATCCCATAACACAAGCCTTATAGTGCTTACTTTGGGGCTAGGCTAATTGGTGTGAGTGTTGGAAATATTTATTTATTTATCTACTTTCTAGAATGCATCGATCGGCGTATATAAGGGCGATTGGCGCCGCGCAGAGACAGTTGAGTTTCAACAGCGATTTCGGAGCGAATCCAAAGGCGATCAAAGTGCAACAAAAGTGTTCAAGTGAGAACAGTGAGTGTTTTGTAATTAACATTGTGTGTTAATTGTCTTAATTGTGTGAATTGTGTGGTGAATAAAGAACTGTCAATCGTCTACTGGCATATAATTTCGAACCCCATCCCGACACGTAACAATACCATTAAAAGGTCAATTTTATTTATCAGCCAAAATATGTAGCTTAGAGTTTCTAGTCCGTTCTTAGTAAAAGGCATTTCTGGCGATTTTAAAAAGGGTTTGCATATTCTTTCTCGTTAATTTTTTTATAAACGTTTTTGACATTGCATAATATAAGACGCATCTAATATGAATAAAATGATTTTTGTACTTGTGAATTTTATTACTATTAAATAATGTGTTCCCAAGTTCCTATTAACTCCAACGCTTTGATTTATAAATCGTTTAAAGGCGATACCAGTACGTATGTATCCTAAACGTATATTCCAACATGGTCACCCTTAGAAAGAGATAACAAACATATGTGACGTCATTCAAGGCCATATTTTTTCACTTCAAGGTATTGTTTGCACTGCAATCTCCAGTGTTGTTTATAAGCTTCTTGGGTTGGCGTCTTATTTTAATTATTCTTAAATTCGTTCATAGTGGATATTGTGAAATAAAATTGGTGTGATTTTGTGTTACAACTGTCTGCGTAACTGAAGAATTAGTAGAATCGTCAAAATATACGCTATTCCGGTCAAGTGGACGTGAGAATTTTATTATAGTATTGACTACCTCACAGAAGGTTATCGAAAAAGCCAGCTCGATACATTTCGTGCCAAACACTTCAAGAAACATTAGAATGCGTTACACTGACATTCTATTGTAAAAAGAAAAGCAGAATAATTTAACTTAAGACTAGGCTGTATGGGCATTGTTCCCCTTGCCTTCCCTGAAAGGGAGAATTTAAAAAATGTCTGAAGTGTTATTTTCTTTTTTTATTTAGAGGCTTTCATTCTATGAATATGCCAGCCTCATCGTACCCTAACCAAAACATACATAACTAATTTAATTTAAAACATTGGAGAGGGCGAGCTATTCTTACTAGCGAAAACCATCGACTTTACTGCATCTGAGTTTGGTAGTGCTAATATTTCCACAAACGAACCTATATTTTCAAAGTTAAGTTGATATTGTTGTATGAATAGCTCTCTCTCTCTCTTCTGTTCTTTACATATTCCATCAAAATGTGTTGAACATCGTCCACTTTGTTACAAACTTCACAATTGGGAAAATTAGCTTTCTTCATCAAATGTGCAAACTTCCTAGATAAAAGACTTTTTGGCGGGAAGTCAAATAAGGCGCGCGGAAATTTTTCGCTTTAAATAATTTTATTTCTTTTTAATAATTAATTAGGTACTGATAAAAACACTACTAAATAGATTATTTCGTAGAAGCGAACCCCATCTGCAAAAATGGGGTCGCAAAGCGGAGAGGAGGGCGAGCGTAAGCGAAAATACAAAAGGACTGTCGACTCTTCGGAGGATAACTACAAAGTATATTTTAAAACCAACTACATGTTAGATATATTGGATGGTCGCTTAGCTTCAACCATGTGTGGAATGAGGTTCAGGTTATTAGATGAGTTCAGCTGAAATAATATTGTCTTCAACTCGTATTGCACTTGTATTTATTAGACACAATAAATGAGGCAATTACATGTCCAAATGATCTTATATTTAAATGGATGTAAAAACAAAGAAGCGAATACAAAATGGACATTACAGAAAGGGCAGAGCAAAAAAAGGAAGTAACGAGAGATGTGAACACCAGTGTTGCCAGTAGTTTAGTGTTGCTATACATGGAGGATAATTTTAACCATTAACACTACACTCGACTGGTTTTGGAAAAAAGTGCCGCTGATTATACAGTCTATGTAGAGTCAAAAGAAAGAGAGATGATAGGCAATAGAAATCCTATTAAACTAACCAAATTATTTACTGATAACATAAAAGGTATCAAATTAGGCATTACTTTTCAAAAGGTTGCTGCAGCAAACTTTTTAAAGCACGAGCACTTTCTGAATAAGCACAAATTTCGTGCGTTTATCGCTGCTCATCTAGTGGAGAGAGGAGGCATCATCAAATTTGTTCCCACTGATTTGTTTAATGAAGAAATATACAAAAATATTACCTGTGACGCTGATGTCATCTCAGTTAAAAGATTTATGAAAAAGGAATCCAATGAACTCGTGCCATTAACAACAGTTGCAATCACATTCTCGACATCCAACTTACCTAAATATGTATTCTTCAATTTATTCAGATATCAAGTAAATACTTACATTCCAGCATTAATTCAATGCTATAAATGCTTCAAGTTTAATCACTCGGCGAAAGTATGTCGTGGCACTCAGATGTGCTCTTCTTGCTCGGGTGCTCATCTCTTTAAAGAACTATAATTTGCATAAATTGCGGAGGTGGCCACCTTGCCATTTCTCGAGAATGCCCAGTAAATAAAGAAAATTGAAGAAAAAAGGAATAAAATACTAGACCAAAATCGATCTTTTGCCTCTGCAAGTAGTAAGATATGTGATGTAAATTACCCTTTGTTAACGAAAAGAGTTGGAAAAAACAATGTTAATAATGTAAACAAAAATGTAAATAGTGTAAATAAAAAGGCTCAGCTTTTGTTGAGTTTGTAGTTGAGTTGCGAGCTGAAATTTTAAAGTATTAATTATTAACACGTACACGAAATCTTTTTACGCGGAAACGAATAAAATTCGAGAAAAAAATTATTGAAAATTAATATTTTTGTAGGTAGTCTATTTTGATCAGTGCTGCCATTTTTTCATGCAAAAATAACATGTTTCTCGTTGTCTATGGCAAAAATATGTTTATTAAGTTGGTACTATTGTCAAAATGACAGATATACCGCAATTTTGTGTTTGTTTTGAGATCCGTCAGGGAGGTCTGTGTTCGTCGGTAAAAAATATATTTGCTATTATTTACTTGGTAAATAAAACATAGTATGGGCTCAACACTCAGAAAAAAAGGGAAATATGGCGTTACAACAATCTTTAATTCAGAACCGACTTGGTCAACCCCGACACGCCGTGGTCTTGGTCTGCCCTACCCCTAGAGTGTTTTTTAGAGTCAGGAGGCGTGGAGGGAGAGCAGTCCCTGCCTGCTGAAGGGGAGTGATACTTGTGACTTTTTCACGCAAAGGCGGAGGGGCTGCTATTCCCGCAGCGCCGGAGATAAGGCAGAAGTACTGGATCTTATTTCCCTAGTCCTAGTCAACTACCCCGAAATTCAACCACAGCTAATGGAATTATGTACCTTTGATGAAAATCAAACTGATGCAGTCAAAATTCCATTAACAGACTTCCACCAGCAGATAAATGAGTCGGTCAATTTGCTGTGGCATGCCTATTGGAAGAAAATAGCAGAAGTACCATGGTATCATAGAAGCAAAGTCGCCGATTCCAGAAACTTTATCACAACAATAAACAGATTACGATTTGGACATTGTAGAACAGAACACCGGCCCATTTAACACGATTACGGATAATGCAAACTGCACATTTTGTCTAGGAGAAATAGGAGATTTAGAACATATTATTATGAAATGTCAAAAGTTCAACGTACAACATTTAATTTTAAGATCGAAACTGCAAAATATCTGAGAAACTGATGATTGTGACATACTAACAGAATGGACAAGAAATCTGCAAAATTTTCTCACTAGAGGCGCTTTAATCGCTTGACCCAAAACTTCTATCAAATACATACCTATTATGTTATATTAATTTTAAAGCTTTTTATTTTTATCAAATTACAAATGCCGCGTTGTGCAATTCCTGGTTATACGGCAAACGGCCGACTGTCGGCAATTGTTATGTGAGCGGCGTATGCACTTGGCCGTTAAAGGGGTGTGAGAAAACTGCATGCTTCCCAACTAAAATATAATTTTATATTTTGCTTTGAAAGGGGTAGGGGAGGGGGTAAAACTGAGCTGCTGTTTACACCATGGTATGTATCTGAGACTTGTAATTGCATCTGGATGTCTTTATTTTGATCAGAAAAAACTGCACCAAAATTAAAATTGCTGTCAAGTCTGTAAAAAAACCCAAAGTTATACTTCCCATTTTAGCTAGAGGTAACCTAACTCTATGTGATGTCTGACTGATGCAAAAATAAGATAGATTTGACTAATGAGCCTGTTAAAAGTTACTGTGATCCATGAACTATTAAAATAATCATGAAAAATGCATCTATGTACCAAGAATGAGAATTCCAGCATATTAATAGAAAGAGTGCCTTTCTACTAGATCAGCTTTTCTGCCTTGCATAGATGCTCCTCTCCTTTTCAAGTCTGTTTTCAGCTGTATTACAGACCATGTTGAATATATAATACATCCTATATAATACACTTTTACCACTTATTTAATATTTTAACAACAAAAAAAAACACGTTTAAAATTTGACAGCTGCAATATTCGGCTGTGGTTTGGGTCAAGCGTTTGCAGCGCCATCTATGTCGAGCTTTGCGTATACTTCTCTATTGCAAACACTTTTAGGGAATCATTTATTTTATGAACCTATATTTAATTTTATAAGTAACACTGTAGAAAATTTGTAAAATGTAAATAATTAACTAATATATTAAGTTGCATGTTCTTAGTAATAAGCTAGGCATAAGGACAATGTATACATTGCCAATAAATTGAAAAAAAGAAAAAAAAAGTCTGATGTAAAGTTTTTTTGGCGGGATTTCATCGAGTGCGGTTGGAGGGCTATCGTTTTTTGTCTCACCAGATGGCGCCACTGTTTAGTGAGGTCCTGAAGTGTAACTTTTAAAGTTAGTAAACACGCTCGTGATATCAAAGTTTACATTTTAATACAAAAGAATCGTATCTTAAACATAATCGCCCATACCACAGTGTTGCGCAGTCCCGTTTTGTTCGGAAAAAAGAAGGACAATATTTTTTCTTAGCTCCGCTTTTAAATAACTGACAATAATTGACACGTAACTCATATTTGCCATGTCCAAATCGTAATCTGTTTATTGTTGTGATAAAGTTTCTGGAATCGGCGACTTTGCTTCTATGATACCGACATACCAACAGAATTGCATAAACTTTTAGGTAACCATTTATTTTATAAACCTATATTTAATTTTATATGTAACACTGTAGAAAAATTGTAAAATGTAAATAATTAACAAATATATTAAGTTGCATGTTCTTAGTAATAAGCTAGGCATAAGGACAATGTATCCATTGCCAATAAATAAAAAAAAAATGTTTAAATTTTATTATCAAATTGACGTGACGGGGGAATCCGGGGGAATAACAGATTATCAACAAAAAGTTCGTTTTCTTTTTTTCTAATTAAAATAAATTATATTTTGCTGTAAAAGGAAATTAAAATAAGTAATTACTACTTATAAAGTATATATTATAAAACTCACCATGTTTGCTATAGAAAAAAAGTTTGATATCGAAATGAAACTTCGCAAGGTAAATTTACATTTCTATTTTTCATTATTGTTTTATTTGCAAATAGGTGGAGTTAAGTTCAAGTAGAGAAACTGTAGTGAAAGCGATGACATTATGACATTTAGATACAAATTAATACTGATATAAATTTAACATGTCTAGGAGATGACAAATATTCAAGAGCTAAAAGCAGCAGCAAACCGAAGCTCTTCGCTGGCTAACGATGTTTGCAATGTGCTTGGCGCCTGCGAGCAGCGGCTGCAGCAGCTGGAGGCTGCCGTGCTACCTCTGTATGGGGATACTGCACGATTGCAGCATATACACCAGAGTATGACCTTATTTGGTTTCATTAATATCTTGTTTGTATGTAAAGTTAGTAAAAAAAACCTAAAAATGTGTATTATAATATGAATTATGTATAATAATATAATGTCCATAGTTTAAATTGACCTTTTGAGCTTTTGAATAATTTGTAAGCTTTTCTTTTTAGATATGGAAAAAACTGTAAAAGCCTTGGATCATGTGATTAATTTCTATATGGTATCACGAGAGCTGGCAGATTTGGTCCAAGCTGGGCCTCATACATCTTCCACAGAATCACTAAATTTATATTTGGAGGTAATATAGAAATTGTTTGCTAAAATTATTTGAGACAATATCATGTCTATGTTGGATTTTTAATACTGTTTTCTTTCTTCAGGCTTTAGATAAACTGGAAGAGGCACAAACATATTTCAATAAACACAATGCTCAGAGTGTTGAGCTGGAAAATATAGTAAGTCATACTTTAGGACAATGTACATAATAATGTTCTTTGTCAAGACTGATTTTAAGAATTGAGATTTTTAAAGTTATTTCTAAGTTGTGCTTGAAATTAAACCTTAACTTGTATATTGCTTATATTTTTTTTATAGAATCAACTGTATAATACAGGAGTGTTGAAGTTGGAGAATGCATTTGAAGAACTTTTGAGTCGCAACACTAGACCCTTGTCTCCCACCACTCTCATGGACATGATTGCTTTAGAAGAAGGTAAGTATTGTTGGTTGAGTTTCCTAAAATAAATATTGGTCATATTTTATTTATAATTACTGTACTCTTCTTCTTCTTTTTGGAAAATGGCAGTGCACTTTTGTGTATTTCGCCAGACTTGAGTGAATCAGCTTGATTGTTTAGTAGGAAATGACTGCTTTTTTTTTTAAAGTATGTTGTTAAAGCACAATATGTGAATGAAGTAAACAATGTACTTGATTTTTTGTAATTGGGTATCTGTTGTCTTATCTGAAAGCTAGAGACAAACACAATAAAAAGTTAGGAATGTTAGTTGGTTAGTCTAGAGACAAACAGTTACAAGCAAATATTATTTTTGGATATATATATTCACAAACTAGAATAATAAAGGGAGAGTTAACATGGGTTAAGAGGGTTTGTAAATTCATAGGTTTGGGAATGTATGGTGGAAGGATGTCATACAGTGAAACAGGGTATTTTGGGCAACTTAAAAAATATGCTCAGTAGTTCCTTCATCCAGCCTGCATTCAGTACTGTACTCTATTCAACTTCCTCTGAGACAAAGAATAAACAAACCATTAAAAAGTTTTTCAATAGGTCAAATTTAATACACAGAAAAATCATAATTGAAAAATAGTGACACTATAAAAACCTAATAATGTAGTTATTCCCAAACTTTGAACGCATTATAATACATTGAAGAGAAGTGATAAAACAAATCATTTATATGGGAATGTAAAATTTTCATATCAAAGGAAGTGGAATACAGTATAGTTTACTCAAAGTTGGCTGCAAGTTAAAAACCTTTATATGACTAAATTTAATTTGGCTAATACAATTTGTTTAGCTGAAAGCTACTTATATTATTAGTTTAAAGATTTTGTGTATTTTTTTCCTACCCTGTCTTAAAGTTCTGGGCATGCTGCTTGTGATGTGCATTTGTGTGTGTTACATTTTTTGTTACATTGCAAATAATATACAAATACTAGTTGTCCGCGAACTTCGTACCGCTATAAAAAATAGGGGTTGGTGGTAGAAGGATGAAAATTTAGGGTTGTATATATTTTTGTATGATGTATCATAAAGAAATTAAAACAAATTTTTTTTAACCAAAAAAAAAGTTTTAATTTTTTTTTTATTTTCTTTTCTTTTTTTTAATTTTTAACCCTTAACATTTAGAGGGATAAAAAATAGATTTTGTCCGATTCTCAGACCTAGTGAAAAAAATAAAATAATATAATATGCATATAAAATTTCATGAACATCGGTCGAGCTGTTTCGGAGTAGTTCAATTACGCACACCATGACACGGGAATTTTATATATTAGATATGTATAAATTGTGTAATGAGTAAAAGTTTTAAGGGAAATGTTTATTTTATTATTTTCTAGCACATTTAAATAAAAGCTTGTTTTTAAAAAGGTTTCTTTACTATTAATTTTTTAGGGTTCCGTACCTCAAAAGGAAAAAACGGAACCCTTATAGGATTACTTTGTTGTCCGTCCGTCCGTCTGTCAAGACCGTTTTTTGCAGGAACGTGTGGAGGTATCAAACTGAAATTTATAACTAATACTCATGTCTACTGTCCCTTAGAGCTGTGAAAAAATCAAACTTCTAAGCCAAAGCAATCAAAAGATACAGCCGTTTATGCCGTTTTCCGCAAATTTTCGAAACTCGTACGGCAATGAAAACCTACAGGGTACTTTCCGTGAACTTAGAATCTTGTGGTACGAAGTAACGCCTTAAAATGTTATGTATCATAATTTTTACTATTTATTATTATTTTGTCATTGGCATGCTATGATCTTTGTGGTTAAAATAAATGAATTATTATTATAGTACAGATAAAAAAAAATGCGAAAACCGTAAATTTTTAGTTACATCATATAGATAATAAAAATATTTTTGAAAATTTTAAAGTTACTACCTCTTTTCTCATGAACGCGTAGAGGTATTAAATTGAGTTTGTACGGAACCCTCGGTGCGCGAGTCCGACTCGCACTTGGCCGGTTTTTTTAATTAAGTACCTTATTCTGTAACAACAATTTGAATACATTTACTTTTGGACCATTTAAATTGTTACTTTGATGGAAATAAATATGAATATTAATGTTAATTTATTTTATTGCATTATTTTTGTATATTGATTCTTTCAGACCAAGGGGCCATTTGCCTAACGGAAATGTTTTGGAAAACGCTAACTCCTACGATTTTATTTTGTTATTTTTAGCCGCCTGAGCATCTCTTTTTGTTTTCTTTTGCATTGGTAATAACAATATTAAAAAAACTGAGCGGGAGGCATTTGAAAACCTTTGGCGGTCAGAAATAACAAAATAACATCGAAAGCGTTAGCGTTATCCATAGCATTTCCGTTAGGCGAATGGCCCCCAGGGCCGATAATAATTTTTGACAGCAAAATAAAATAGAGGAACAGGATGAAACCCATACCGAAAGAAAGAGGACACATAAAAAAAGAGGAAAAATGTTTTCGGGGAATCGGAGGTCGGGAAGGATGCCCCGATTTTTTCTCAGAAAACATAGTTTTCCCGAAATTTACAATAAACCGTTTTCCCCAACTTCCCGGGTCACCCATTACCTTTCCCGACCTCAAAACGCCCGTACACTATTTTTTCGCCTTTTTCACGTGGTCCTATTTTTTATGGATTTTATCCTGTGCCGAATAAGTATTTTTCGTTTGGTATGTTTTTTAAAGGCATCCGCCCTGGGGGCCTACCGCCTATCGGCCTATGGCTATTTCAATAGTTTACGATTTAATCTTGTTATAGGTATGGGTTATTATTATCTATTCTGTTTTTCAATTCTTTCGATGTGTGTATTTCGGTAGTTTTATTTGCTCATCATCATCAGCCTATTAATGTCGCCGCTGCTGGGGCACAGGCCTTCCCTATGGATGGAATAGGGAGATGGGGCCATGACTCACCACGCGGGCCCAGTGCGGATTGGCGGGTGCTAACGACTGCAGATGCAGCCGGGACCGACGGCTTAACGTGCCTTCCGAAGCAGGGAGGAACTCGAGATTGAAGATTTTTGGTCACCCATCCAATGATCGACCATTGCGAAAGTTGCTTCAACGATCGCAGCCGAACGAGCTAACCACCTGCGCCATCGAGCTCCTCATTGAGTTTTATTTACCGAGTCATAACAAAGGGTGAACTTCGGGTCGCTTAACTCGTAAATTGGTCGGTCGGTAAAGACTCCAGCGCGGACAGCGTAAGCGTGAGCGTGAGCGCTTCCGGGAGCGGTTCCAGCGGGGGCCCGTCGCTGGAGACTTTGCGCGCGGCCGCGGCCTGGCTGAGCGCAGCCGGCCGCCCGCCTCTCAACGCGCTCGTCAGTATCCGAGCTCCGGCCGCTAAGCAGAGCATGCTCGCCTTCAGGGACTACCTGCGCTCGCGGTCCATGGCTGCCTCGCCGCTCATGGTGAGAGCTATCCCTGCCTCGGCGAGATAATTTTACTACAAAACTTGACTAAAACTTATTAATGTCTAGCTTTACATTTGTTAAATGCTTTTAGTTGAAAACATCAAGCGAAAATCATCATTTTTGTAGGTGCCAGCTAATATCTTAATTCTAGTCTTTAATGATTCTGATAAATATTTAGAATTCATATTATATTAATTCAGATTCATCGAACCTAAAAGTAAATCCACTGGAAGTGATACCCGTGGTTATATTGTATAATGTACCACGTTTCTTGTGAATACATATATGGATATGAATGGAATATGTGTCTATCATGAACTAAGCAAGTCATTACAAATATTATCAATATGCCTTAAATACTTTATGAGGAGCATTCTTATTATTATTTTATTTGCAGAGAGCGAAAAACGTGCTTCACCGATCTGATAGCACATCTAAGAAGACTAGCAAAATCCAGAAAGTGTAAGTGTGTACTAGAAAGACGATATTTAAAGGCTGTTTCAAGTAACACCTGAATATTGTTTGTTATTTGTTATAGGTTGGAGAAACGTGCCAACAAAATTATGATGAAGGCATCACAAACTTTAGAACAGTCCACGGGGTTGGCTATAGGCCCGCGACGATCTGTTGTTGAAGCATGTGAGTTTTGTCAATATGTATGCTGTCTTGCTCTAAAATATTAATACTCTTAAATATTATTTGTTTCTTAGGTTTTCACGCACATCACTCATTAAATAAAACTAGTTTTAACGGGGTTGTTTTACATCGGGCAAACAAAGAGGAGTATAGGGACTCGGGCCGCTCTGTAGCTTACGCAGTGTTTTCACTCTACCGCTTATGTGTATTTTCTGTTTCTCTGTGCTTTTGATGAACTGTTTGCTGTTTCTATCGTGCTGTTTTGAATTGTGTGTGTTTGCGAACTCCTTTTGTTATTATTCTTGGACTTTGTGTTTGTGATAAATAGAAATCGTAAGTGTATACGAACTTTTTATTTACATACAAACCCATAACCACACATTCATAATTCATCCCTTTTACTGGCTCGGTATTAATTCTTTAATTAAATAACTCGACACAGATGATGTTCACGCGGGAATTTAAATGTTCATCATTAATACATAATATTATTTACAGAAGTGTGCGTGTATGAGAGTTACTTATGCAGTTGAATAGAAGCATATTTTATTTGATGCTAGTCTGAGCGTACCGTATCTTGCCTTTTTGTTTTAATGTATGCTTTTGACGATGAAGGGTCTAATTTCGGCGTTGGATCCGGATGAAACCGGCGATGCGGGCGAGCAGAGCGAGGCAGAGGGGACCGAGGCGTCGACGGCGGCACTGAATCGTACCTTTTTGTTTTAATCTAAGCGTGTGACGAAGGGTCTAATTTGGGCGTTAGATCCGGATGAAACCGGCGAGGCGGGTGCGGAGAGCGAGGTAGAGGCGGCCGGTGCGCTGGTGGTTGCATTGTATCTTCCCTTTTTGTTTTAATCTAAGCTTGTGATGATGAAGGGTCTAATTTCGGCGTTAGATCCGGATGAAACCGGTGAGGCGGGCGAGGAGAGCGAGGTAGAGGCGGCCGGGGCGTTGGCGGCGGCATTAGCTAGGATAGCGCGGCATGAACAGCGGCACGTGCTGGGGCTGGTGCCGCTGCCGCGCCTGCCCGCGCTGCTGCACCACCTGCTCAAGGACTGCTGCGCGCTGCTGGCTGCCGACGTCGAGGTGATCATACAAATTAATATTACCAACACTCAACCACTTGTGTACATGACACAAACAGTCAATATTGTTCAAATCAAATATCAAAGTGTACGAGATTTCTATTTACCTCTTATCGTGTATAAAGCCTGCTAAAACTCAAAGTTAGAGTTCTCATACGTTTGGCAACCCTACGCGGTCCTCCAGCGACAACACACATCGTGGGATCACACTTTTACAAGAAGATAATATTATTATGATCTAACACTTTTGTGACTTAACGTTCTTTCATGCCTTTTTTGGTAGATAATTAATTAAACAGTTTGGCACCATTCGTAGATTTGGAAAGTATTTATTTATTTTTATGAAATACTTATATCTAAAAAAAAACCGAGAAAATATTTATGTAACTAGTCGGACGCGGAAAACCGCGTCAATTTTCAAGTTGTTTTTTTAATCCCACAGGAACCTAATATTTTTCCGGGATGAAAAGTATATCTCAACCTAGTTCATATATTATATGAGTGCCAAAGGAGATTGGGCATCTTAGTATGGAGCTTGGGGACGAACTAAAGATTTTTGTACATCAATCAAATAACCTTAAAAATATTGCTTATATTTAATACTTTTAGGATTTTTTATTTCTTCAAAATCCGTACTCTATGAGCAAAGTTTGGATTGGATTTTAAAGAAATATATCTACATAACCTCTTTTTACGATCCCCGCTACTACGCAACTACTCTAATCTTAATATTACCTACATACATACACATAATCACGCTCATAATCCTAAAAGGATTTGAGCAGTGCTGCAGGTAACATTTGTTTACACATTTTGAAGTTATACTTCTTTAGGCGCGTTATGAAAAATTGATGAGAGTGAAATTTTAAGATGCGCGCGCATCACTGTAACACAAAATTTTAATCTGGGTACTCTATTTAGTGGGTGCTAACGACTGCATTGTGAAGGCCTATCAAAAGTATTTATTAATCTGGAACAACGGAACCAAAGCGCGATTCAGGAGACTACAGCGCCATCTCTTGACCATTGGTGTAGTAGAACCAAAAACCACATCTTTATTTTTTGTAATAAAGTAACAGTTATAGGTATTCATATTTATAATATCAAAAGTATTTATTAATCTGGAACAACGGAACCAAAGCGCGATTCAGGAGACTACAGCGCCATCTCTTGACCATTGGTGTAGTAGAACCAAAAACCACATCTCTATTTTTTTGTAATAAAGTAACAGTTATAGGTATTCATATTTATAATATTTATCCACATGTTTCTAGTTTGTATATTCGGAATACGTGTTTGAGTTTCATAAGTGCAAATCACATATGTTCTAATAAATTATATTCAGTAGCGATTTTAATTGAATTTTTTGATTATTTATATATTTTTTTAAATTAAAACTGAACTTTATTGACTGTGTCCTTTTCCAGACTTTTTATTAATTTATTGTAATTAATTATTTGCATGCAATTAAAAACTAATTTTAAACGATGCCAAAGAAGGATAACTTCTCACGCGCCTACATAAGTACACGCACCCATTTTTATTATTATTTAGCATTACATCATTAGCATCAATTTACACGGCAATAGCGAGAAATCGACTGACTGACAGATCTGAGATCTGACAGTGATCACAGTGACACTGACAGACACTGTTCACATTGACAGAACAACGGTGATTTTTCCGAAACGTATTGCTGGAACCCCGAGTAGGTATATATTCTTTTATTTAAGGATTTTTTGTTTTAATCGTCTTTTGTAAATAAATCATAGTCACACGAATAATATGTTCTATTATTCTTTGTATATGTGTTTTCGTATCTTGGACTAGTTCTAACAATGTTAATAACATTAATAAGTTAACATTGGAAACCTAAGTTAACGTTTCGGAACGCGCCGTGCGGGCTTATCACATAGGAAATCATTCTACATTTTAAAAATATCGCATATTTTTCTGAGAGTACGAAAATTGCTGAAATTTGGTATTCAGTCATCAATAATTAGATAACGATTTTTGGCAGTATTTGCATGAGTGTACAATTGAGAGATAAAAATCCCTAAAATGCCCAACCTCCTTTCATCCAAATCCGTTCAGTAGTTTCTGCGTGATTAAGTAACGAATATACAAACTTTCACAATGAGGGTGTTTATGAAAATTTGCGTCACCAGTTGGCGCCACTGTGACGTGAGGTCGTTTGCATGAAGTTTTTGGCGCGAACTCCATAGACCAAACTATGAGAACATATGCGATTTGACGGATGAGTAGACCTTTCGTCTCAGTACTGCCACCTGGTGCCCGTCATTCCAGAAAACCATCATTATACTATTAGTATTTTAGGGTAACAGTAGGTATACAATTTTAAAACCGTCTTGATAATATTAATATAGACTCTAACATAACAATGTACACAATTCTGTATTGAATATACCCCTAAAAAATCACCCCTTAACATTTTTGCCGTTTATAATTAATAAAACTAATTAACCGATAACTTTCTTGAAATATTCAAAAATCGTACGACAGTATATAAAAAAGCATTTCCTAAAATAAAATTTATTGGACAATTCACCCAAGGTATGTTGGTTATAATCGTTCTACCAAGTTTCCACTAGATGGCGCTGTACTCATCTGGATCGCGTTATGGTTTCGTGACTTCGGTACCACAATAGTGTAACGTAGGCGAAGTGATGTCAGCCGGGACCAACGGTTTTAATGAGATTTTTGAAGCTGCCACTCACCGTAAGGCGAGTATCGCAGCAATATTATGATATGCGTTTATAGTTCATGAACGAATGCTTCGTCATCGGTTGACTTGCACCGTGTAGTCCGGTCAAATTAGCTTCCAAAATAGGGGTACCGGTAAGGGTACATTAATTCGCACCTAGCTGAAAATTGGCATCAATGTTGGGAACCCTATTACACACAATTTGTCAATTATCCACATGAATCCAACGTGTGGAAAAAGAAATATTCAAGGTCAAATGTTGCAAAAATCGGTTTTTTGAGTTTTCTAGCTAAACGGTAAGTTTTATTATAGAAATAGGTGAGACAAAAATTATTCATCATGCAATTATCTATAAAAATTGTTCATACACTTTTTTTCCTAAGAATCACCATTTCGGAGATATAACGATGCAAAATGTTGAAAAAGTCACGGATTATTTTTAAAGGTATATAGTTCTTTATTTAATACTTTTTGCTTATTTAGGTTTGTGATATTTTTTATACAGCTCCATAACTTTTTGTTATCAAATTTCGCTTTATTCAATAGTTCACTTTCATATTTCATTTTTAGTTTCTTTATTAAATTGTTACAGTAGTTCCTATACCTGCGATAAGTTAATTTGAGAATATCATTTGTTTTGTCCAATCTAAGCTGTTTTTGTAATTTATTCCTATTTTTAATACACTTTAGTATGCCTGGTGTGATCTATGGTTTTAGAATTTGTTGGCTGTTAGGAATACTCACTTGTGTTGTATGCAGTTTTAAAGATAAAGTGATTATATTAACTATCTCATTTGTTAAAGTGTCTGGGTTTTTAATAGAAAATAAGCTTTTCTGTAATTTAGTTTTTAAGGTCTCTAGAGCATCTGTATAACTTATTATGGTTTTCGATTTTGAAGGTCTTGGGTGCTTAGATTTGTTATATATGAAGATACTTGTCATTTTGTGATCCGTGATTGTTGTATCTAGGACTGCAATCATAGCTTCATAGTTGGTAGGACTTAAATTGGTGATGATATGGTCCAAGCAACTATTTATTCTTGTATCAAAACTATGCGCCGGCAACATACCCTGCGATGCTAACATATCGAGATATATATACATACCTAGATATATATACCTCTATTATTATGCAGTATATTTATGTTAATATCTCCTGTAATAATTATATTTCTATTTCTTAAATGTAGCGAGGTAAGGTAATTCTCAAGTGAGTTAATAAAAATTGTTGGATTCGTTACAGATGGTGATCTGTAAATGCATAAAACATTGAAATTAGGTGTTAAAATTTCTAGGCACGAGGCCCCATTTAATATGACCTCTTGGATTGTATGTTCCACTAAATTACTGACAAAAATCACAACTCCGTTGTTCTGATATATTTTTCTAGTAGTGTTATAAGTCAAGTAGTTAGGATTCTGTGTTAATGGTTTATCAGGGTTTATGCGACATTCTGTCAGAACAATAATATAAATTTTCTTGTCGAGCAAACTAAGATTGATATCCAAGTCATCAATATTAGTAGTGTTGTGGACACTACGAATATTTTGTGTTATCATTGAGAGTACTGGAGTGGATTGAGGTAAATTGGTATGTAAGTTTTCTATCTTACATTAACGGCAGTTAAATTACTTGTGTCATCTAATTCTTGACTTATTTGGATTGACTTATCCATTTATAGTACCAAAAATATTGTAGGTAAATAACTGTTAAGAAAACCTATTATCACATAAAACAAAGACAGCCGGTTGTAATTGTATATAAGGTAAGACTGCACATTCAACTTCACAGTAATTAACAGCAACATTTGTTTTATAGTAATGTAAGTTTTAAAAGTATGAGTCCTATAGTACAGACTATAGATATATGTTGTGTAAAATCCTATTGTTAATTGGGAGAAAGTCATAAAACCTTTTTTCCATAGTATAACTAAGAATACTTAGAATTTCATTAGTATTGTAAATATTATGTATTTTGTATATTAAAATGTATAATGCATTTGCTGATACTCCTAATGAGTTATGTTTATTATTACATATGTGATAATATTTATGAGACCAGTACATTAGAATGATGATAGGTTGTAGATATATATCTAAAAGTACACTTACTTGATAGGCTTTGACCATTGTTTTGTTATTGCATAGGTGAACCGATAAAAAACATATCAACTTACAAAAACAGTCAATGAACAAAACATGTTTACAACACGCATGGTGCAATGAGCATATTGATGTATTAACAAAAAAATAGATTAATATTAGTCACTTATTGAGTAGCTGTTGTATTTGAGATTCACATTTTATAGATATAATCGGCGAGTCATCATTTTGTCGCAAATACACTTTACCGTAGTTTGTCCAGCAATACTTAAAATCTTTTGCATTCTTCACGTTTCTAGCCAAAAAATAAAGTCTTCCTGATTTTGGTGTTAGATTTTCCGAGACGAATATTGGTGTGTCGGGGTTTATCAATAAACCTAGGTGCTTGGCACTTAATTTATCGGTTTTTTTTTTATTGAAAGTTTTCACCGCCTTCATAATATCACTCTTATTGAAAGTATTCGTAAATTCAACTATGAGTGTGCTTTTCTCACTTTTATTTTTGTTATGAATTTTTATGATATCCTTTAAATCATATTTTTCTATAGTTACGCCAATATTTTCAGACAATTTGGACATCATGTTATATAAATCCTTTTTTGTTTCACCCCCTTTCAACGGCAAATTTTTTATTTCTATATTAGATTTTCTATCACATATCTGTTTTTCCTCCATCTTGTTTTCTAATACATTGTTCTGCGTCTTATTTAGCTTGTGCCTCCAATTGTTCAATTTTTTTCTTCAAGTCTGAGTTTTCTTCGCTTAAATATGAGATGGTGCATTGAACATTATTTATTATTTGCTGTACTTCTTTCAGCGAGTTTATAACCGTGTTTGTTTGACTGATCTGCGAGTCGGTAAACAATTTTAGTGACTCCTCTATCTGCTTTTTTATTTCCTTCTTTATATCTTCTAACTGGATATCTGTTAATTCGGAGGGTCGTTTCCTTTTAAAACGCATGGAGTTATTTCCAACTGCAGTCGGTGATGAGGCTTTGTCACTCACAGTTGAGACATCGGGTGTTGAGCCGTATTTATCAGGTGAACGGATCATTTTGGCACAGCAATCCAGCAATCGGTGGTAAATGTAGTAGCAGTGACGTCAAACGACGCGACCACGATCAAAACAGTGCAGGAGTGGGACAGCAATTATGATTAACGGTGCTCTTTACTCGAGGTGGTGAGGGGAGCTGCAAACTGGTCGTACGACACACGTCCGTTCTATCTAACGTCCCGGGCGAAAGAGGATATTTGCCTGACTTTGTCGCGACTAACTCCACTCGATTCACGTCTCTCAACTTTTTTCTCATGATGGCAGCCCGTAAAATAAAGTTTGGTTGTACAGCGGTGCACACCCCCACGCATTCCGCGCTGTTTGAGATTGAGTTCTGTAATATACGCGGACTCCACTCTAACCTCAATGCTGTCCACCACCATCTTGAGACAGCACGGCCAGCACTATTGTTTCTCACGGAGACACAAATACTTCCGCCCGCTGACACAGGCTACCTTAAATATCCCGGCTACGCGCTTGAAGAATCCTTCAAAGCAAAAGCCGACGTATGCCTGTATGTTCGGGTGGATGTTTGTTGTCGCCGTTTGAGCTGCCTGGAAGACCCATCCTTTTCCATGTTGGCGGTACATGTAGACTCTGGTTCTCAGGCCAGAGTCTACGTGTGCCTCTACAGATCTCACACCGGCGACGCTGAGACAACTCGACTGTTTGACCACCTCAGTAGTGTAGCAGATGATGCCCAGGCGCAATTTCCCAACGCAGAACTGGTGTTTTTGGGAGACTTTAACGCCCACCACGGTTTGTGGCTTGGCTCTTCCAAAACTGACCATGCAGGGATCTCTGCCCATGCTTTCGCTCTCACGCATGACTTGACACAACTGGTTGATCAGCCCACCAGGATCCCAGATATAGCAAGTCAAGCGCCTTCTTTACTAGACCTTCTGCTTACGACCCATCCGCAGGAGTATCAGGTTGTGGTTCGAGCCCCACTGGGTTCATCAGACCATTGCCTGATATCTGTCAAGGTGCCACAGGCCAAAACCCCACGACCATTAGTGGTCAAACGCAGGGTCTGGCACTATGGGTCGGCAGATTGGGATGGTATGCGCGATTACTTTGCGTCCGTCCCTTGGAAGCAGCGCTGCTTCAATGAAAAGGACCTATCATCCAGCGCCATTGCCATTACTGAGGAGATCGTAATGGGAATGGAGTATTACATTCCACATTCTGATCTCATCAGTAAGGGCACACGTAACCGCTGGTTCAATCGCGATTGTGCCGATGCTGTTTCTCGTAAGCAGGCGGCATATCGCGCTTGGATCAGAGACGCGCTCTTAAGGATCTCGGGGTTAACTTACTGAAAGCTGCCTATAATAGTGCTTCCAAGTCTTGTAAGAAGGCTTACATCAGAGCGGATGCCCAACGTGTAGCACGTACTGGCCACAAATTGTTAACGCACCCTACGGGCTTCCGTAGTTTTTGGCGTTTGGCTAAGGCCGTGCAACACAACTTTTGCCAGCCCTCGCTGCCACCTCTGCGATGTCCAGATGGGTCACTAGCTCATGAGCCGCAAGAGAAAGCCGATTTGTTGGCAAAGCTCTTTGCGGCTAACTCCCGAATCAGTGATTGCAATGCACTGCCACCTATACTATTGTGGCACTACGATGCCTGACATTCAAATCAGGCAGCGTGATGTTCGTGCGGAGTTGCAATCACTCGACGTCCGGAAAGCTAGTGGACCTGATGGCATCCCAGCAGTTGTTCCAAAACATTGTGCAGCGGAGTTGTCTCCCGTGCTTACGCGCCTGTACCAACTCTCTTACTCTTTGGGGCGTGTGCCGGCAGCTTGGAGAGACGCCAATGTGCAACCGGTGCCCAAAAAAGGGGACCGCTCAGACCCGGCCAACTATCGGCCGATAGCTGTCACCTCAGTGTTGTGTAAAGTCTTAGAAAGGGTCCTTAACAACCATCTGACCCTCTACCTAGAAGATTACTCTTTGATTCACGATCGTCAATACGGATTTAGGCCGAATCGATCGACGGGTGACCTTCTAGCGTACGTGACACACATATGGGGTGAAGCTACAGACAAGCGGGGAGAGTCTCTGGCTATTAGCCTTGACATCGCCAAGGCTTTTGACAGGGTCTGGCACGAAAGTCTTCTCTCCAAGCTGCCTGCATACGGTCTGCCTGCTCAGCTCTGCGCCTGGGTAGCTGACTTCCTGCATGAGCGTAGATTTCGCGTCCTTACGGATGGATGTAGTTCGCAGTTCATGTCAGTGAATGCCGGTGTTCCTCAGGGCTCCGTTCTATCCCCCACACTCTTTCTGCTGCATATCAATGATTTGATTCCACTTGCGAATATTCATTGCTATGCAGACGATAGCACAGTGCATGCGAGATACTTTGGACACGCGGCGGCTGGACAGGTAGAAACCATGGAGAAACGGGAGAATCTTGTCGTTGAGCTCAATCGGGCTTTGGACCACATTTCCGAATGGGGTACCAGGAACTTGGTTGAGTTCAATGCCAAGAAAACTCAGGCTTGCGCTTTCACGGCAAAAACATCGCCATTCCTTCCCCTTCCCTCTCTTCAGGGCACAACACTGGCGCTACAGAGCTATATTACCTTGCTCGGTATGGAGGTTCGCTCAGACCTGAATCCAAAGGACTACATCGAAACCTTGATCAAAGCAGCTTCACGCAAACTCGGAGTCCTGAACAAGGTGCGGCGTTTTTTCACGCCCGATCAACTGTGCTTGTTGTACAAAACGCAAGTGCGGTCCTGCGTGGAATATTGCTCGCACCTCTGGGATGGCTCTCTGCGTAGGGTTAATCACCACTTTATCTGCTCAGTACATTAATCATCGGATGCACTGCCAAGTAGCCGTTTACTTGCCATGTAAATGTAAGAGAACATAACTTCAAATACGACATTTCCAGCTTTTCATCAAAAACCGTAGTAGTAACGGCATCACTCTTTTTATTTTCCAACACGTTTTTATTTTCATTAACGAGCTGAATTAACGTGTCACGTTTTGTAGTCATTTTTAATAACAAAGTGTTCGTAAAAATAAATTCAATTTAAACAAAAGATTAGATTTCTTCAGTGATATTCAAACAAAACCAGCGCCGGCGACTGAATGACATAGACATTTTATTGATATCTCATTTGCGTTCCATTCTTATAGAAAAATATTTTGAATGATAATTCTGTGATAACTATACTTTATAGAAACACATTAATTACTCTTAACTTGAAACGAAACGTTAAACTCTAAAGTTGCCAGCATTCTCTCTCTTTTGCAAGTATTAGTTAGTTAATCTTCACTTTAATTTACTCATTGGATGAAAGAAAGCTAACGAAAGGAATTAAACTTCTATGTAATTTACTCGTTGAGTAACTTCCCATACCTTTACTTATTGATTGTGAAACAGGCCCTTAGTAATGTTATTTGTCTGTAGCGCGCCTGCACGCGCAGTCGTCGCGCGGCGGCGCGCTGTGGGCCGGGCCCGGGGTGCTGGGCGCTGCTGGCGCGACTGCAGCGTCTGCAGCCAGACGTGGAGCGGGCCCTGCAGCCTGCCTCACCTGCGCCCTACACCGCCATCATGCAGGCCTGCCAGACCCACGTGCGTATATATATTGACTGCAGCGCCTGCAGCCAGACGTGGAGCGCGCCCTGCAGCCTGCCTCACCCGCGTCCTACAACGCCATCATGCAGGCCTGCCAGACCCACGTGCGTATATATACTGACTGCAGCGTCTGCAGCCAGACGTGGAGCGCGCCCTGCAGCCTGCCTCACCCGCGCCCTACACCGCCATCATGCAGGCCTGCCAGACCCATGTGCGTATATATACTGACTGCAGCGTCTGCAGCCAGACGTGGAGCGGGCCCTGCAGCCTGCCTCACCTGCGCCCTACACCGCCATCATGCAGGCCTGCCAGACCCACGTGCGTATATATATTGACTGCAGCGCCTGCAGCCAGACGTGGAGCGCGCCCTGCAGCCTGCCTCACCCGCGTCCTACAACGACATCATGCAGGCCTGCCAGACCCACGTGCGTATATATACTGACTGCAGCGTCTGCAGCCAAATGTGGAGCGGGCCCTGCAGCCTGCCTCACTTGCGCCCTACAACGCCATCATGCAGGCCTGCCAGGCCCACGTGCGTATATATACTGACTGCAGCGCCTGCAGCCAGACGTGTAGCGCGCCCTGCAGCCTGCCTCACCCGCGCCCTACACCGCCATCATGCAGGCCTGCCAGACCCACGTGCGTATATATACTGACTGCAGCGCCTGCAGCCAGACGTGGAGCGCGCCCTGCAGCCTGCCTCACCCGCGTCCTATAACGCCATCATGCAGGCCTGCCAGACCCACGTGCGTATATATACTGACTGCAGCGTCTGCAGCCAGACGTGGAGCGCGCCCTGCAGCCTGCCTCACCCGCGCCCTACACCGCCATCATGCAGGCCTGCCAGACCCATGTGCGTATATATACTGACTGCAGCGTCTGCAGCCAGACGTGGAGCGGGCCCTGCAGCCTGCCTCACCTGCGCCCTACACCGCCATCATGCAGGCCTGCCAGACCCACGTGCGTATATATATTGACTGCAGCGCCTGCAGCCAGACGTGGAGCGCGCCCTGCAGCCTGCCTCACCCGCGTCCTACAACGCCATCATGCAGGCCTGCCAGACCCACGTGCGTATATATACTGACTGCAGCGTCTGCAGCCAAATGTGGAGCGGGCCCTGCAGCCTGCCTCACTTGCGCCCTACAACGCCATCATGCAGGCCTGCCAGGCCCACGTGCGTATATATACTGACTGCAGCGCCTGCAGCCAGACGTGGAGCGCGCCCTGCAGCCTGCCTCACCCGCGCCCTACACCGCCATCATGCAGGCCTGCCAGACCCATGTGCGTATATATACTGACTGCAGCGTCTGCAGCCAGACGTGGAGCGGGCCCTGCAGCCTGCCTCACCTGCGCCCTACACCGCCATCATGCAGGCCTGCCAGACCCACGTGCGTATATATATTGACTGCAGCGCCTGCAGCCAGACGTGGAGCGCGCCCTGCAGCCTGCCTCACCCGCGTCCTACAACGCCATCATGCAGGCCTGCCAGACCCACGTGCGTATATATACTGACTGCAGCGTCTGCAGCCAAATGTGGAGCGGGCCCTGCAGCCTGCCTCACTTGCGCCCTACAACGCCATCATGCAGGTCTGCCAGGCCCACGTGCGTATATATACTGACTGCAGCGCCTGCAGCCAGACGTGTAGCGCGCCCTGCAGCCTGCCTCACCCGCGCCCTACACCGCCATCATGCAGGCCTGCCAGACCCACGTGCGTATATATACTGACTGCAGCGCCTGCAGCCAGACGTGGAGCGCGCCCTGCAGCCTGCCTCACCCGCGCCCTACACCGCCATCATGCAGGCCTGCCAGACCCATGTGCGTATATATAAAGGAAAACATCGCCACATCCCAAGTTTTAATAACCTGATATGTGATAAAAAAATCTAAGTCACAAAGTTATATATGAACTATATCGTAACTCGACTTGATAAATAACTTTCTTGTTTATACTTCAGAAAATTTACCGCTGACCATCAAGAGTTGTTCACCGTTTCCTTTATTACTTCGTTTTTATAAATATTATTCATGGACGGCACGCAAAAATTTTATCGACACCGAATTCAGATTTATTACGTAACGTCTTTATTATTATTCGGTATTTATGTATATTGACAATGTACGGCACAGGTTGCCAGCTGGTGATGTTGACGGAATATTATTATTTAGAACTTTGATAATAGATTTAAGTCCTATCGAAAAGTTAACCGTTTAAATTCAGATAGTTTATAATAACAAAATGGTCCATTAAATCGTTAGTAACAATATTTAACTTATCAATGTGTGTCTTTTAAATATTGAAATTGTATTAAAAATAAAATGTGATCTAAACCAAATGTCAAATCAAAATGAATTTATATAATTAATCAATACTCTAAATTTAAAGTAGATTTGCAACGAATAGTATATTCGGCAGTATACCGAATATTCGGCGAGGCCCCTGACCGAATAGCCGAATATTAGGCAAAAGTATTCGGTTGGATTTTAGCGCCAAAAACTTGTACATACGTGATTGTTTCGCGTTTGTTCTAATGTACTCATCGCCCGCGCGCCCGCTGTTGCTCTGCGCGGTATATTGCTAACGCGTCATTGGTACATTAAACAGGTGTTTTATGTACCAATGACCACTTAATAAATGATTATAAAAGAAATGAGAACCTTACCCTTCTAAATTTTGATTACCACAATAATTCAAATACATAGAATCCTCCATTTTTCCAATTCAGAAGATGATTATGTACCTGTGCTATGTACCAATGACTACTTTAATGATTATATATAACAGAAATGAAAATATGACTATACGTATATCCATTTGAATTTCTCATTTTACCAATTATTTCTCTATGACAAAATATATTATTTAAGTATTCGGCCGAATATTAAGTAGATATTCGGGTTTCGGCCGAATATAATAAAAGCAGCCGAATACCGAATAGTAACCGAATATTCGTTGCAAGTCTAATTTAAAGTCATATAATTAAAATGTTGTGCAATGTAAAGAAATGGCTTTTAATTTTTTTCTTAAAAGTTCAATTTTTTGCTTTGAATGTGTTTTTTTTTTCATAGCTTGGAACAAACTTTTTACTGTGTTAACGTAGAAGTCCATAAAAAAGGTAAATTTAAAAAATCAAAAAGCCCGACTTATACCCATTAGATATTCAAGAATACATAATATTTTTCAACAGTGGGTCCCGACTGTTAAAGTAGCTTTGTTCCTTATTAAGAGAATTATAGACTACTGGACTTGTTTTTTTTCTTTTCAGTTTTTATTTGAAGTATAATTAAGCAGTCGGGTTTTGATTTTTTAAATTTACCTTTTTTATTTCACACTTTTTAGTTAGTTAGTATTTTAAGACGGTATATACCGTAGTCTTGTTACTTCAGTAAGGGAATTAATATCGCGGGAATTATTAAGTACCTTCGGTAAGTAAGTAAGTCGGTCTAAAAGATTGATTTATTAAGACATATAAAGACTTTACCAGCGGGGTCAAGGCTACAGGTGGGCCTCAATTTTCGCAAAAATGTGTGAAGTTAAATCAAGTCGTTACATAAATATCTCTAATGTATGTAAATTTTATAGTAAATTAGCACTTACTCAAAAAGTCATCTTTTGTTTATGTTTTTTTTAATAGTTTAGCAGTAAATATAAAATTCATTTACTTTTATTCGTCGACTATTTAAAATTAGCAGTGGCTTCATTGTCATGTCAATGCCGGACGTCTAAGATTGTGATACACACAAATTCAGTGTCAGTCCCTAGTCTCATAATTTGATATACCTACATAATTCACAGAAACCCAATATGTAGATGCCAGAAGTTAACTTCAAATGTTTTTAATCACCCTTTATACAATACCAATCAATGACGTTTATGTCGCAGGTTGAAGAAAGCAGTAATTCCCGTCTGTTGTTTTGGACAATGCAACGGTGGCAACTGCCTTAGATCACTAAATTAAATAATTATGCAATCACCAAAGCAAAGTTTATAATATTTTTTTAAACTAAAGGCGCATAATAAAATTTTCATACCGTTAGGTAGAGCACCATAGCAATCTAATTTATTATCAATTTATAGTTCTCTTTGTAGTTTTCTTTTAAAGCGTTCACATTTAACAGGTCAAAGACTTTGTGTTCGACCCTTTTTTATTGGTAGTGTAAAGCTCGAATGAAGAGTACTCCCAGTAGTGCAATCATGGCAATTATTTTCCAAATTTTTTTATTTTTTTTGTTTAAAAAAATACCGAATAACGTATCACTGTTAAGCACAAATGCCAAGTAACTTTTACAAATATAATCAAATAAACCTATTACTTTCTTTATTTTTAAATCTTTTTCATCAATTAAATACTTATCTTATCCTAACTATCTATACTAATATTATAAAGAGGCAAGATTTGTATGTTTACAAATCTGTGAAACTACTGAACCTGTTTCAAATAATAATTCAACATAAGGTAGCTACATTATTTATTATAACATTATTCTTTATTTAAATACATTTTATCCGAGTGACATAGGCTATATTTTATCCCGATAAATAAATTTCGCCCGTACAATGCTCGGGTGGATCACTAGTAAGTATAATATAATATTATAGATGCGAAAGTGAGTTTGTTTGTTGCGCTTCCGTGCCCTAATAGCTAAATCGAATATAATGAATTCCCATATAGAAGTAGATGGGAACTTGGTTCTTAGCTACAACATCGCAACACTTATAGGCGTAGGGTGATGAAAGGGGTGATTTACTTAAAAAAAGCTACATTATTTACTTTGAATTTTGCAGAATTATTACAAAACCAATATTATCGCGAGCTGATTAATAAATACAGGGATTCCAATATATGTACTTACTAGCGAAAAATGGGTTATTTGTCATTATATTAAGTAAACCTTTTTTGTAACATTAAGTAATATCGTTAAAAAAATTAAAAACAGTAAAATTCTGAGTTTTTCATTAAAATTCAATAATCATAAATACCTATTATGATAATATATTTTTCATCATTTAATAAGAAGGAACTGTATCACAGTTTTATTGTTAGTACTTCGTATAGGATCAGATACTGCGAATACCCCATTTTTTTTTCTTTTACATAGTACACCGCGCTATCACTTTGTCATTGTTGTAACTTTTTAAATATTTGTCGAAATGACATAGTGTAAAAAGAAAAGTTTATCGTCTTTAAATATCAAAAGCCATAAAAGTATTTGTTTTGATAAAAAATGATTTGTTAATACAAAATGTGCATTTTGGAAATAGATATCAAATAATATTTCAGTTTTGATTCACTATTTCAGCGGTAATGACTTACACATTAAAAATAGATATATGGTGTCACGGACTTTTTTTAGAACTATTTAAGAGATACATTTTCACTCTACATTACATTCATGTAACTTTTATTGTTTTTGCAGTGCAGGCCAAAATGGCTCGCAGATGGGAGATTTTTTCCGTCTTATGTGACACTTATTGTTCTATATTGGCCAATTCACTCAATAACTACATAAACTATTATATATATGTAATTATCATATATGAGCTATATTACTGTTAAGTTTCATTAAAATCCATTCAGTATTTTTTAAGGTGAAAGAGTAACAAAGATCCAAACAAAACGTAAGATTGAAATTAAAAGCGTAAGTGGTTAATATACAACTTTAAAGCGTTGTAGTTCCTAAACAATTATATAAAATGAAAAAATGGTGTTAGGAACCTAAATATGATTTTTGATTATCTAGACAGTGATACCCCACTCGACATATTTTGTCAACTTATTTTTTTTACTTCGTCGCAATATGGCGCCTAATTTTGCCCATATTGAATTTTGATTACTATCATATTTTTAGTAGCACTCCCATGATTGAGACGAATCGATCGATGTATGAATCATCAAAATCGGTCCAGGCGTTTAGTCTCTAGTGTGCCATAAAGGAACAAACATACATATATAGACTGTTAAACACATAACCCTGTCTGCGCGTCGCGCTTCGCGCTCTTGCATTGCGCAGCCGGGTAAAAAAAATATGGGTTTTATTGGGTCCATACAAGATGTTAGTTCTAGTTATTTGAAGTTAGTTCTAGTTATAAAACAATAATTAGTTGATGAAAACGATATTAATACCTTAGATACGAAGAAGCAAATTTAATGTTATTGAAAAATTGATTTTTCTAACACTAACGTACTCGTTTCATATTGTAGAATCTTCCATTTGTGGGAAATATACTGCTTGCGGGGGGCGGAGGAGGGGGTGTTCGAATTCAAACGTCATCATCATCAGCCTATTAATGTTCCTACTGCTGGGGCACAGGCCTTCCCTATGGATGGAATAGGGAGATTGGGCCATGACCCACCACGCGGGCCCAGTGCGGATTGGCGGTTGCTAACGACTGCAGATGCAGCCGGGACCAGCGGCTTAACGTGCCTTCCGAAGCACGGAGGAACTCGAGATAGTAAATTTTTGGTCCCCCATCCAATAACCGACCACTGCGCAAGTTGCTTAACTTCAACGATCGCAGCCGAACGCGCTAACCACTTGCGCCATCGAGCTCCTCGAATTAAAACGTACCCAGTTCTTATTGGCAAATTCTATATTCCCGTATAGTGCCTGCAGTGGGCGGAGGAGTGGGTGGAAGGGGTGCGTGGGGACGGGGCCGGGGCGGCCGTGGACGGCACCGTGCACCAACTGGCGGCCGCGGCGCTGGGGCACTGTCATCATCTAGCGCATCTGGCGCATTGTATGGGTGAGTATAATCACGTATAGGGAAGGGGCCGCGGCGGCCGTGGACGGCACCGTGCACCAGTTGGCGGCCGCGGCGCTGGGGCACTGTCATCATCTAGCGCATCTGGCGCACTGTATGGGTGAGTACAATCACGTAGAGGGACGGGGCCGGGGCGGCCGTGGACGGCACCGTGCACGAGCTGGCGGCCGCTGCGCTGGGGCACTGTCATCATCTAGTGCATCTGGCGCACTGTATGGGTGAGTACAATCACGTATAGGGACGGGGCCGCGGCGGCCGTGGACGGCACCGTGCACCAAATGACGGCCGCGGCGCTGGGGCACTGTCATCATCTAGCGCATCTGGCGCCCTGTATGGGTGAGTACAACCACGTATAGGGACGGGGCCGCGGCGGCCGTGGACGGCACCGTGCACGAGCTGGCGGCCGCGGCGCTGGGGCACTGTCATCATCTAGCGCATCTGGCGCACTGTATGGGTGAGTACAACCACGTATAGGGATGGGGCCGCGGCGGCCGTGGACGGCACCGTGCACGAGCTGGCGGCCGCGGCGCTGGGGCACTGTCATCATCTAGCGCATCTGGCGCACTATATGGGTGAGTACAACCACGTATAGGGATGGGGCCGCGGCGGCCGTTAACGGCACCGTGCACGAGCTGGCGGCCGCGGCGCTGGGGCACTGTCATCATCTAGCGCATCTGGCGCACTGTATGGGTGAGTACAATCTCGTATAGGGACGGGGCCGGGACGGCCGTGGACGGTACCGTGCACCAGCTGGTGGCCGCGGCGCTGGGACACTGTCATCATCTAGCGCATCTGGCGCACTGTATGGGTGAGTACAATCACGTATAGGGACGGGGCCGCGGCGGCCGTGGACGGCACCGTGCACCAACTGACGGCCGCGGCGCTGGGGCACTGTCATCATCTAGCGCATCTGGCGCCCTGTATGGGTGAGTACAATCACGTATAGGGACGGGGCCACGGCGGCCGTGGACGGCACCGTGCACCAGCTGGCGGCCGCGCTGGGGCACTGTCATCGTCTAGCGCATCTGGCGCACTGTATTGGTGATAACAATCATGTATAGGGACCGTCCCTATACCGTATGTCACTTATCTGCGTAGTATAACACTTAGCAGTTAGCCTGTCCAACTCTGTGAAGTAAAACTGGGCAATCTCTCAACGAATTAGAAATTATATGGAATATAAACTGTGCTAAAATGTGGTTCCACGCAAACTACGATCAAGTGGGCGCGCACAGTGGTCCGGATTTTGAATATAGTGGTCATAGGACCCAAGGTTAATATTTCGCGCTGAAAAAATTCATGCGGACAGATAAGTAAGTGAACGCTCATCAACTTTTCTCTAGCAATTTTCATGTCATCGTATATTTTCGCGAAAAAAAAATATTTAAGAAAAAAATGTATGGAGCAAAACTGAATTACTTTTTTTTACTCGAAATGTTTAAAAGTGTTAGCAATGAAACCATTTGTAAATTATTTTATTACATTTATTTATTAATTTCACCAACACATCTTTTGCATGCACTTGCAGCTTTGGCGTTTATGAGCAGTTTAACTTGAAATAATTATATATAAAAAAATACATGGAATCAATACTTTTTTAGTCTGTTAAGTGGTTTTGGGAAAGTACAATACTAATATATAATTGTCTATATCAACACAGACATCAAATTACAAAATAAAATAATTATTGAAAATTGTTTATTGCATAATTCTTACAATAGAATGTAATAATCGAAGGTGGTTTATACTTTTAATTTCAAAAATATAAATTAGTACACTTAAACAAGAATAATAAAAACATAATAAAATGGTACAAGTAAACTAAACATACAAAATAATACAAAGTAATAAATTAATATAAGAAAACTTAAAAATCATTCCAAAGGATCTGGCACATTTTGTGGAGCTTCTAGTTCTTCATCTTCAACTTTTATTATTTTTTCTGTTATTAATAACTGCAACGCTTCTGGAAACATACTTGATGATTTGAAATTGGCGTATTTAGGTTTCAGATGAGATATATATGGATCCGAATCAAAAAATTGTGTATAATATCTTCATTATTTTGAAATCTTCCTGTTTTTCTTGTGTGGCGCTCTCTGGTATTTCGGAAGTCCTTATTTCTTGCTTCTGCTGCTTCTTCTGACAAAATTCCTATAGGAAGACAAGAGAAATGTTTGCATATGTCTGCGCCATGTATCAGCATTTTGTGTACGCTGGAAGGCATGTTGTACCAGGGGTAGTGATGTACAAAGAGTTCAGCAGTCTCCTTGCAGTATCCACGGAATCGATCGATATTGACAGCCTTTCCAGAAAATTACCCCTTCAATATGACGGCGAAGTGTTTTATCAAATCAACATCAATCTTCGTTATTTGAGCTGTCTTTTCGTATTCTCGGAAAAATCTTCTGACCGTGTTCCCATCATTTGTAGTTCCCATCATCCAAAGCCCTGCTTCACAAGATCAATCAAAAGTCCCATCTGTTGTTTGAACTCCGATTGCACCATGTTCTTTCGAAACTTCTTAAGGTTCTTGTTTTCGCCTCTTGCACTCCACATTTCAAAATTTAAATTATACGAAATGTGTAAAAGACACTTCATGCTTCGAATCCACATATGGAGGGATGACAATCCATATTGATATACATCTTCCCGCACAGGTCTTGCAAACATTTGAGAAAGATTATGCATCTCGCTTGGTTTTGCAAGATAAATATTGCAAGTAGCTGCAGAGGGAATATTTGTAATTATTGTCGTCACTTTCCCATCAATCATTGTCATGTGTAGCTCATGAGGAACTTCCAAGTTTCCGCAACTTGAAAACAGTCAAATTTTGTATTTCTTCCTCCATTTCTGCTTGTTCTTGCTTAACAAAGTCAGTTGTTTCCTTCGCAAACTGAAATTTAATAGGTCTGCAATAAAACGTTGAAGATGGCTTTGGATTATCCCAAATAACAATATTTTCGGCCTCCAGCTTCAGGGGAACGAGGCTGGTCATGAACACAGAGGAGTCGTCGAATTCTGCCATTTCACTTCTTTGCTCTGTGTTGAAGAACCATCAAATCCCCATTTGCTGGTCAGCTTCAAGCTTCCACTGGAAATATTTAAATCATCACCAACGACTTGCAAAATCCTTCGAGTTGTGACATCTAAAAGTGCTTGTAGTTTCACCTTCGCTCCATCTTCTAATATAATTATATCTCTGGCATCTGGATAACACCTTTTCTTAGCTTCTAACAACTTGTGGTAAGACGGAAGCTTCAACTGTTGTGACAATGCAGACCGTTTCCACTTTAAAAGATCCAATGAAGTAGTTAGGGCCAAAACTTGATCTTCCTGCATAGTCTCCTTCTTTTCGTTCATAAATAAAAATGATTCGACAACTCCAACCTTTTCAGGCTTCTTCATAAGATGATCGATGATGCGAGCAAGAACTTCTTTTCCATTAGACTTTAGTTTGGTGATAAAAGCAAAAGTCAGTTCCTCTTCTGGATAGTCAAGTAATGTACGCGATCGCCTTTTCTTCTGCTTGTTTCCTAGGTCTTCAAATGGCTTTCTTGATACGATGTCTGTAGAAGTGCTCATATCAATAGTCGCCTTCAAAGTAGATGCAAAGGTCGCCTTCGCCGAAGGCGCCGCGGCGTGCGGGGATCTGGTCTGGGCGTGTGCTCACTTCAGATAGTGCGGGTTCGCACCCTATCATCGGGGTAGTTTTCCTGTCGCTCGATGCGGTTAATGTATTTGTTGTATCGTGGATTCCAGATCTCGGATCCATACTCTAGTATGCTTCTAACGTAAGTGCAGTACAGAATTTTTATCGTTTTGATGTCATTGAAACAAGCTGAAGTGCGCATAACAAATCCGAGAGCCCTTGAAGCTTTTTTCACAATACTATCTTTTACTATCGTTTATCAAAGAGGAGCTTTGAGTCATGAGAAATTCCAAGGTCACATGTAACAGTAAGTCTTTGTTTACTCTGATTTTTAAATCTATAATCGGATGGAATTATAACAGATTTACGAGTATAAGTCACAACAGAACATTTAGCGGGATTGAGATCTAGTTTATTTAATTTGCAGTAATTTTCAAGACGCTTTAAATCTGTCTGAAGATCTAATACATCAGCTGGCGATGATATAGATTTAAAAATTTTCATGTCATCTGCAAAACAAAGTGATCTGGAGTGGTGAAAACAAGATTCAATGTCATTTATAAAAATCAAAAATAAAAGTGGACCCAAAAGTGAACCTTGGGGTACTCCACTAGGTACAATGACCCAACTAGAAATATAATTATTAATAACTACAGCCTGGGACCTGTTGGAAATATAGGACTGAAACCATCTCAGCAGATCAACGCTAATTCCAATATGTTCTAACTTAGTAATCAATGTTTCATGATGTATCCTATCAAAACATTTGCTGTAATCTGTATAAATTACATCAACCTCCATATTATTTTGCATTCTATCAGTAATAAATTCATTAAATAAAACTAAATTTGAAACGGTAGATCGACCATGAAGAAACCCGTGCTGAGAGTCGATGAAAGATTTTTCCAACGCTGCATAAATTTGGTTGTGAATAATTTTTTCAAATACTTTGGCAACAATGCACAACTTAGAAACTGGCCTGTAATTAGTGTCCTCACATTTCATACCCTTTTTATGTGTTGGCGTTATAAATGCAATCTTCCACAATAACGGCATATTATTTTCAGTAATAGATTTTAGAAATAATAAATAGACAGGCACAGAAATAAATTTAGCGCACTTAACAAAAAATATAGGGGGCAAGTTATCAGGTCCTCCCGACTTATTAATATCTAATGACAATAGCAATTTATTCACCATATCAATATCAATGTGGATATTAGAAATATCCGTCAGCGCCGATGCACCAAAATCACAATTCAAACCGGACTTTTCAGGTGTGGACTGCAAAAAGGTGGAATAAAAGAAGTCAGAAAATAGATTTGCGATA